AATATTTTTATAATATTTTCTATCATCAGCATCCACAAGCGTCAAATTCGGGTTTTTCATGAATATTAATTCCATGAGACCCGGTGTAGCGATGTATCTTTCTTCAACATCTAATTCATTGTTTCCAATCGTGACAATACTGTCACCCATTGTAAATTGTTTTCCATTGTAACGTACCCCAAAAGTTTGATCCAACCCACCTAGGTCATTATTTAAAAATTTCATTACGTACTTCGATGGAGCCTCACCAACTTTTTCCAGAAAGTCGAAAGCCATGATTCCTTCAGGAGTTCTAACGTCTTCGCTTACTTGCTCGAGTATAGGTTTACACGGAGTGAACTCAACTCGGGTTCAGAAAACATTGGATGCAGATGCTCACTGTCATCGTCGCTTTCAATGTTAACGGATAAATCGATGCTTTTAGGCTCCGTTTGTTCTTCATCCTTACACGATGGGACCAAATCTATGTCTTGTAACTGTGATCTAAATACCTTCAACTTTGAGTTGAAATAGGTGTCTGTTCGACAGGAGTCGGTATTTATAATCTTTTCGGCCTCTTAGGGCGGTGGTCATCTTCCACTTCTCGCTTTAACTGCAATGGTTGAACGGTGCGTGCCTCAATGGCGTTGATAATAGGTTTATATTTAACTTTGTGATATTCATCATTTTCCTCTTTCAATCGTTTAAGAGCATTATATTTTTTTCCTAATATTCTCTCTTATTTCTGCTATTTCTCGTGTCCAACATGGAGGTGTTGTTTTTTCTATCGTCGACGAATGACTGATCTGTTTCAAAGCAATATATAGATATCGAAATCTTTACGGTAATGACCGTTTTTCAAGGGGGAATTCTTGTTAATCCTTAATTGTTATCATTCAAGCACTTTCGACAAATATCGGAAAATTCCTTAAACGACAAATCCGAGTTTACATGATCTTCGTTTATACTTTACGCATATCCATGTTTAGTAAATCTTGTTTAAAAGCAATAAGTAAATTAACATTATCACTTATCAAATGTTTGGGGACCTTCGTGTAACTTTGTCTCATAGGTAAAACGAATCTATCCCATGCAAAAATAGGATCTAACCCGATCCTGCTTATCACAAAGCATGTCGTCAAATATAATGATAGAATCGGGGCCTCGTTTGGCTGGGGGCACTTGGTCATTATTGTCAAACAAAAATAAACGAATTTCATTTAATTATTTTTCATTTTCACATATTTTGGCTGAGTAATAGATTTGCTAAAGAGATATATAGTTTGAAATTTCAAACCATCTAAATTATATATAACATTTAATATTAAATTTGTTTTTCCAAAATTGGAAGGACCACATATTAAACACCTAATGCTATTCGGTAAATAAGGGATTGTGCATTTGTGCTTAATAAATCCTTCTGATTCGACGTCAACTTTCCTTATCGATAAAGATAAGTCTTGCTTCTTTAAGCACATAATGACGACTGAGGGTAAAACGTTGTTTTATGATATTATATATAAAAAAATTGTGCATTATTCAGAAACGAACTTGTTAGGTACTTTTTAATTTGTTATTAATTGACTAGCGGAACAATTTTCGTTTTGTTAGATATAAAAATTAATATTTATTTAGAAATCGTGGGATGCGGTCTGGTGTGAAGTAGGTTTCAGAAAAACATTTTCTTTATCGTGCCAACGTTTCGATCTTTATTGAGATCATCTTCAGGGCTCAAAGTGTTTTTCTTCTGTGTAATTGTGCCATTCTTTGCGTGTCGTGTTGTGAGGGCACTCTTTGAGCCCTGAAGATGATCTCAATACAGATCGAAACGTTGGCACGATAAAGAAAATGTTTTTCTGAAACCTACATCACACCAGACCGCATCTCACGATTTCTAAATAAATATCGATTAACGGTCACTAATCACCTAAAAATTAATACAAAACAAACAGAAATCACATACAATTTGCACAACTTCTCGAGCTTTTACAACTAATACAACTATATAAATAAATAATATTCTTTATTCATGTTTAAAAAAATTTAGTCATTTTCTTCGAAATCAACTCTAAAATGACCCAGAACTAAGGTTGAAATTCCGTCGTTTAAAGTGAAACGTTTATCATCGTGAGAGTTGAATGAAATCTTTTCTAAGCAGTCGTTAACTGACTTTCTGAAGGCGTGATTGGATCAGATACATTTTATTTCTAAAAGACAAGCTTTTGAAAAGGTAATTCACATAATCTTCGTACGATATTTGATTTTTTATTACTATTTTCTGCACCCCTTTTAACATTTTAGTTCCTTCTTTTTTATTGCGTACATTTTAGGTCGAAGGCCTACATATTACCAAATAATTTCACCGTTCATCTCGTCTTTAAACTTCCTCATCTTTTGTTTTTTTTATTGAGATCACTCCAGCATGAGTTCTCTTTAGGAACATCCGACGTGTCAAAGTATTCCATCATTTTTTGCAAACCATTGTACATATCGATTGTCATTATTTTATAAAGAAGGGAATCGGTGTCGGTATAGAGTAAAGTTGTATTTTCTCGACCATATCTCGGCAGCATATCATTATAATGGTGATTGTACATATGCTTTTTCGAAATGTCTAAAATTGCCAGGTTTATTGAAATCCACCGTTGTTTTCGCTAAATGAACTACAGTCAAATTTTCGGTGTAGATCGTATGATCTAAAAAAATTCTGGTTTTATTTTTTCTAAATGTTTCGAGTTACATACTGATTAAATATTCATTCTTTTTCGAACTGATTCCATCGTTTTCCCGAAAATCGAATTGTTAAACAATTTACAAATATCTTTTTGAAAATTCGCTGTAGCGTTTGCCCTTAGCATTGCGTTATTCTCTACGTACGGGGCCAACCACCGAGACTGAACAAATGTTAACGCTCTTTTAATTTTAACAATTTTTAAAAGGTTTTCAACGGCTTGTTTTAGCGCCGTGGAATGAACAACAGAGTTGCTTCTTAAATTCACTTAATTTAGTGGTCCGCTTGACCAATTAATATCTTTCAATTAATTAAAGTTTTTAGTTGAGATAAAAAAGTCAGTGGCACGAATCTTCGGCTTGAATCGCCGCTGCTCTACCACTTGAGCTATCGTGACCTCGATCCACTCGGACACTAACTTCCCGTCTCAACCCCACCTTTTGAATTTTCCCTCCTTTTTGCCATTTTTCAAATGTCGTGTAATCTACTTGATTTGATTGATGAAAACGGCAAAAAGGAGGGAAAATTCAAAAGGTGGTGTTTAAAAAAAAAAGTGATGTCATCGCCTAAACTGTTGAGGCTACCGACAACCTACACCCTTTTTTCAGAGATTAACAACTCTCCAAACTACACATATAGCATAAAGTTTGCCTCAGACCAAATAATGGTATGGTAGAAAAGGATACTAGGAAGCGGGGTTTGTATTCCCCAGGCACTGCAGCCTTCTGGCTTATTGTACCTTTCTAGTTCTGTAGTTCAGTGCAATAGCCTCAATCCTTCTTCTTAGAAGTATCAAGTCATTGACTGTTGCTGCTGCAATTTGATTCCCTAAGTTTTTTCCGTACGTTAGGTTAAACCTCATTGAACTATTGCTTCGCATTCGAAGATATATGAGTGGTGTTTCCTCCTTCTCATTCCATAATCTAAAAATGGGATCATCGCTGTATGTACCCATGTTGTGTAGATGTTTTCTACCAGTGATCGGTTAGTAATCCTACCAGTCCTCTTTGTTTGGCCGTCTCCAATTGCAGCAGTGTTTATGCCAGTCTCAGTGAGGGTTGTTTCATCATAAGTTTACCATGTCTAGCACCGCTAGAGTTTATCCACTTCTCCTTTTGTTTTGCTTGGATTCATTCTGCGATGGAGGATTCTATATTTGTTTTTGTTATCCCAAGTATAGGTTCAGGGCCTTTATAGGGTCTTGCAGATCCTCCTCTGGCCAGACTGTCTGCTTTGTCGTTACCTAAAATTCTCCTGTGTCCTGGCACCCAAGATATCATCAGGTTGTTGTTTTTCCCCAGGTTTTGGAGATTTTGGATGCATTCACCGACTAATTTTGATGTGATTATTTTACATGCTAATGCTTTAATGGCTGCTTGGCTATCTGATCTTATGAGGATTTTTTAAAAGATTTTCCAGGGAACTTTGCATTGATGGCATGTATTTCCGCTTGAAAGACCAAAGTGTACTTCCCTAATGAGTTTGATTGCTCATGTTTTGGGCTTGTACAGAAAACGCCTGATCCGGTCCCTTCGTTTGTTTTGTAGCCATCTGTGTACCATATCATTGTATCTGATACTCTCCTCTCCTGTGTTCTTCCTCTCCTTTATAGTCCATTGAGACTTTATAGGAAGTTGTGAAGATTTTTTCGGGATCATGTAATCAGTTCCCATTTCTAATAATGGGTGTCTGATTTTGTTGATTATGGATGTATGCCCAAATTGTTTAGTTCCTTTCAATTTAATTGTTTCTGGAGCCTAAATGAGCTTTTCCTAGCCTCTCCTTGTATGAATATTTCCAGTGGAAGTAGGTTTAGTAAAGTTTCTAATGTGTTTGTAGGGGTTGTTCTCATTGCCCCTGTGATACATAGGTTTGCTAGTCTTTGTATGCTGCCTAATGTTGCTACTTACCAAATAATAATTATAGATATAAAATAAATTTTTTTGTTATTTTTCTCATTTACATTTAAAATCTCACTTAAAATCCAGATAAGTTATGAATTTTTATGTAGAACACTGGACATAGGAAAAAAAAATCCCCCTTAGTTAATCCAACCAAAAAATCTTTTTTTTTTTTTTTTTTTTGGGGGGGGGGTAAAAATGTATATTTTTAAGTGTTTTAAAGGTTGATTAAACCAAATCCAAATTGTCAAATTTTTAACTAATATTTTTTGTTTCAGGATATGGAAGCATCTTCAGTTTTTGTAAACTTTTTATACATCTCATTTAATACAACCATAAATATATTCTTATTCTACATAAAAAAACAACAACCAATTGATAGATAATAACTTTGAAATTCATACCCAACAAAGGCAGAAAACTTCATAAAAAAAGTAAATTACATAAAATACATATTTTTATCAGCTCTAAGGCTCATTGACAAGAACACAGACACGTATCTAATAGTGTGATCTAGTACTACAAAAAAATAGTTTAATTAAAATTGATGATCATATGTCCATATTCTCCCCTTTTTTGTGTATAAAAATATAAATAAACAATGGGAGAAAGGGGCCGCGATGAGGGGAAAATACGATGAGGACGAGGTTTGTATTTTTTTCTGACCGTACAATTTCACTACTTCAGAAGAGCTGGTTTTGCTTCCTTTTTTATCAATAAAGAGGACATTATTTTTTTTTATTACCCTGAGGAGTCATTGTTTCCCGGGAAAAACAGTTGGCGCTGGATGTTTGAATGAGTCAAAGCCGCCACAGGAAAATCTCCATTGAGCCTCATGCACCCGGAGACCGGGTTGATTGTGACAGTCCAAGGAGGATCTGTGACAATTGAGTTGCTCACAAGCCTATAAATACAGCCATAAATATTACCTGACAGAAATAAAAGTGAAATACAAAGTATTTGATGCTGTCTGCATATTGTGTTTTACCTGCCAAATTCGATAAATTGATATTTTGTCCAGAAAATCTTTATTTTGCCTTCAACTAATTATCTATGTGGAAATGAACAAATTGATTTTTCATTTGTTTAAAAAACTTCTTTCTACTGTTACACGCACAAATCTGGTCCATGGTAATTATCAAGAGTAAAGCATTTTGTTTTTCTCAGTAGCAGAACATTTTTCAGTGGCATGGCTCCTTCTTGAAAAAATAGTTCTAAATGAAAAGTAAACTTGGCTAATTTTATTTTAACATCAAAACTGCCTTCTTCAAATTCAATCCTCCAAATAGCTTAATTCTGTAAAAAAAAAAAAAAAAAAAAAAACTTTAATTAGTCGACTTGATTATTTGATTTTACAAATTAAGAGACCTCTGTTGGATGGTCATAACTCCCTCTGCGATTCCAGCTCCGTTGAGTATGTTTTACACTTTCTCACAGAATTCTCACTTCTAGGGAAGAAATGAAATTTACACACTTTCAGTTTTGTAATGCTAACATATTTTTTTTTAAAAAAAGCCAATTGGCGAGGACATTTATTTACACAATTTTAGAAATTAAATGTAAAGTTAAGTTCTGCACAAAAGGTAACGGTATATAATTTTTGTAACCTTTTTTATTTCCTTACCCATTGCTGTTCAACATTAAGAAAATAATACAATCGTAGTAACAACTTTAAAATTATATTATAAGTTATTATATAAAATTGATTGTAATCTTCAACTCTAAAATACACAAAAAGAATAATTTAATAATTTTTAATTTTTAAGAACTAAATGTAAAATTAAGTTCTGCACAAAAGGTAACGGGTATATAATTTTTGTATCTTTTTTATTTCCTTACCCACTGCTGTTCAACATTAAGAAAAGTATACAATCGTACTTGAGTAACAACTTTAAAATAAATAAAAAATAAGTCTAAAATCAATGTACACTTAAAGGAAAAGAACTTTAGGTTATTATATAAAATTGATTATAATCTTCAACTCTAAAATATACAAAAAGAATAATTAAGTCAAACAATAAAACGTGCAATTCCAACGATTATCGGGGGGGGGGGGACTAAAGGTCTTGGTCTTTTCCAGAAAGTAAAAACAGGAGAAACTATTTAAAAATAATCATATGACTGCGGTGTCTATAAAAAGTAGTCGTCCCTTCTTGCTCTTATGCTCACTAAAGGTTCCATTAACCTAGGGAAAAAAGGAAAACGTTGAAAATTGATTTTATAAGACAAATGGGCTTTTAACCATACCTCTGTTTTTTTGTTGGGCTGACTTCTAAATTTGACTTATCCTGCAAACAGAGAACAAATTTTAATAAATTCAGAACTGACAAGCAAAGAACAGTGGTGTCTGCCTAGTATAAATTAAAACTAAACCCTGTTTATATCTTCATTAATTTTAATCCAAGCAGGGCAGCGGGTGTCTCTATATTATTTTCTCCACATATTTATGTATTCAACTCTGAATCAGTGTTTACATTTATTTTCAGTGTGAAACCAGCTTTTAAATAGTGTAAGCCATTCAATTTTGTTTTTCCTTTTCAAAGGTACGATTGATTAATTACAGAACTGATGGATAGGCTGTTAAGTGCTAAAAATTTTTTGTCATTTTCTAGGTTTTTTAAAGAAAAAACTCCAAAAAGTTTTACAATTTTGTGTTTTCTTCATTTATTTATTATAACAATAAAGGATGGTAAAGTTATTTCTATTTTTCAGGTTTTTTTATTTAAATTAGTTTTTGCTGATTGTTCAAAATGGAGTCTTATATGCAAAGGAAGAGCTGTAAAATGGAGAAGGTAAAAAAATTGTTATTTTGAGCATATTGCAAATGGCTGAATTTGTGCAAAAAGTTGGCCTTTCACTTCTTCCAGATGTTACTTACAAATAATTTTTTTCCCCTTTTTTAATAAAGGCTGTGACCTTGGGGTCATTTCTGCCGAGTCTATTCAAAGAATGGAGTAGAGTGGCGATAGAAGTGCCTGCTGACCCCAGGAACAAGCCCAGTCAGGTGCCAGGAGAACAAAACTGTTTTTTTTTTTTTTTTTTTTTTTTTTTCGCAAGGCTTGAGTGAAGAAGAGTCAAGTGTCCAGGCACCAGTGACTCACCCCCACGGACGGCCCAGCACCTGTCGACACAAAGTAAGGGGCCACCAGCGCCGATCTGCCCCATCCTTCACGAGGTTATGAATGGTTAATGGGAGCTACATGATAAAGAGGGGGAATAATTAAATTTTGTGAATTAAGCACTGGGTGACAGAAAAATTGGACTGTTACTGTTTATAATCATTTTTTTATGAAAGTATTTCAAAGTATTTATTGTAAATTATTATATTTATTTTAAATATAATTTCAGTCATACTGCCCCAAATAATGACAAAACAAATAATTTTGTAAAGCATAACAAATAAAGGTGGGGTTGAGATGGGAAGTTAGTGTCCGAGTGGATCGAGGTCACGATAGCTCAAGAGGTAGAGCAGCGGCGTATCCAGCCGAAGTTCGTGGGTTCAAATCCCGCTCGTGCCATTGACTTTTTTATCTCAACTAAAAACATTAATTAACTGTAATATGTTAATTGGTCAAGTGACCACGAAATTAGTGAAATTAAGCTGTAAGTTTTTCTTAATAAGCTGGACAAGCAAGAAAGTGTAGTTTGGTCTTTTTTTTTAAATCATTTTGGCCAGGCAATAACATTTATTTTAGAAACTACAAAATTCCGACTGCCAAACAAGTTTAGAAAATTGGGACTTCACAATACTGTTAGTACAATAAAATATGAACATAAAATTAAAATGCGATTTAATATGTAATTGGTTAAATAAAATGTCAACCCTTACTTGTAATTTACAGGCAGAATCGCATGTACAGTTTTCATTGCAGTCTAGGTCATCCTTTTTACAAGGACAGGATTTAGGAGAGCATTCTTCTTGGCAAGAGCATTGCGGGTTTGTCTTGTTTTTGCTGTTACACCTTCTCTTCGATGACTATTGTAAAAAAAGGAAAAAAAATTAAATTTAAAACAAAGATGTCTCAACACAAAACAATACATTCTACTGTTTAAATTTTCTTGATTTCAGAAGGGTTTTTCATAAGATGCATTTTTCTTAGAATGTAAGTCACCCAACGGTTTTTCAAGCGCTTCTAAACGGAACCCCGGTTACTCGGTTCTAACGCATGCATTTTGAACGGAGGAACTGGTTTATATAAAATGATTTACCTTAAGGGACTGCAGTCTCTTGTAGAGGGGCGTGCGAACCCAGTCTGGATCGTTGGGGTCGTCATTCTCTATCTCGACCGAATCGTCAAACGCCCTCATCCTCTCTTCATCGGCCAATTCGTAGGTGAATGTCTGTGTTTTCTTTTTGCTCTTTCTCGTGCCCTGACCAGCCTACAAATGATTATGAGTTAAAATAAATGCAACAAATGAAATTATTCTTGTTAAAAAAAATTAATAATAATAATAATCGCCTTAGTTTAACCAATAAACGTTATTTTAAGACCAGATGTGCATTACGATTTACTGAATAAATTATCAATCATAAATTTTATACTTTCCTTGCCTGAAAGAATTAAATCTATCAGCCATTTGATGCAACAGGATGAATCCTTTATTGGAAAACCTTCAAAACTGAAGTTAAACAAGAATCACCGATCATCATCAACTTGGAAATGAAGACAATTTGCAGTTGATATTCATACAAATAACAGTGAATAAGCGAAAATTTATTTTACTTGATAAGAAGTGTATGTTTTGTTTTGTTAACTTAAAACAAATACACAAAGAAATGAATTTACTAATGGACTTTTCAAACTATGAGCGTTTCCTCCTATGATTTGCGGGGTGATAAACTTAACATCACCCCTGGTCTGTCTACCATAACCGATTTTTGTTAATTTAGACATGATTCAACATTTTGTCATCTTCGGCACCGCCATGGCAAATTGCCGAAACACATCTGAATGTGAATAAGCTAGGGGATAGGCAGACCATTATGATAGGTAACTATCAAAAAAATTCCATACTAATTTGGATTGACATATAAAGTCAACAAAAATATTTGTCATGAAGAATGAAAAATGGAGAAACTGATTTAAATGTTTACTTCTTCAATCCAAAACATGAAATTGATCCAATTTGTTATTTATATTACAAAAATTTTCTTGTAGAAATTTTAGATCACGTATGAACTGAATGCAACAACCACAGATTGGCATAACAAAAGAAAAAAAATCATAGCCAGAAATTCTTTTTAAAATTACAATCGACTTAATCAACCATAAACCTACAAATTATTTCATTTTTAAGAATATTTCAGAAATTATGTAATTAATATTAGCCAAAAAAAAAAGAAGTCACGTTCAAAAATTCAACTTTTTTTTAATAGTGACTTACATAAAACTTACCCTACTTGGTTTAACCCTTTCAGGTTGGTCAGCACCCTTCGGTCCCCAAGGTACTAAGTGAGCGTGACATCGCACTATACTCCCTTTGCTTTTAGACTAAAGCTCAAAGAAACAGTGTACTGTAAGTTATTTTTAGCACTGTTGTTTGCCGTTTTAAGTAACACTGCTTCTTTGAATTTCAGTCTAATAGTGAAGGGAGAAAAGTGTGATGTCACGCTCACGGTACCTGGGTAGAGGGACAGGTGAGTTTGACCGAAGACTCTCAGCTCCTCACAGGAGGAAGCAAGAATAGGATATCACCCTACATGTCCTGAAAGGGTCAACTTGCTACATTTTTATCAAAACGCCCCATATCAATGGAAAACTATCAAAAAGACAGGATTTTATACTCTTAGAATATCTTTTGAGTATTTTACAAGTGATAAACAAAATTTAGTGAAAATGTGACAAATTTATATTTTTGTCAATTAATAATCGATTATGGTCCACAGCTAACGGATGTCACGACGTAATTTCAAATGTTTTGAGTTTAACGTAGCAGACAAAAAAATTCCCTTCAAACAGAATGAAATTTTTGGACGGGAACTTCTTTAGAATACTCGTATCACAAATTTATTCTCAAGCCTCCTTTTCAGCATCATCAGTGACAAGTCTGTTAAACCAATCTCCTGGTGCAAAAGAGGAAGCCGGTCAGAGCTTTAAAAACGTTGCAATGAATTTTTTTTTTCTTTGTGTGTGGTCTACATGCAGTTTTTTCATCATGCACATGCAATAATTGATCTTAGAAAGAGTACCTTCGATGTAGTGAAGGTTGTATCTTTTTGCTCCAAAAAGTTTTCAAAAGCTTCCATATGTGTAGATGGCTAAATAAACAAAAAATTTGATATTTTTCAATCATTGAACAATCCTAATAATTAATAATAAAAATAAAAAGCAAATTGCCTTACGTATTTATTAAAATTAAACAAAAGAAGAAATGCTACATTTAAAATTTAGTTTAATTATGTAAAAACCATATCTACAAATATCTATTTCTGATATCCGTTTATTAATTGCTTTTGATTTGGAGAAAATAATATTTAAAAAAAAAATAATAATATACACATACAGGTTTGCGCACGACGAGTGCTTTGTTCAAGGTGTTTACTTCTTCCTCCAGTTCCTTGACTCTGTTCCTGAGCATCCCGATTTTCTCGAGCTCTTCATACTTGATATTCTTGTATTGAACCATCTCTTCAGACTCGTTCAGATTTGGCTCTTGAATGCGCTTCAATAAGATGTAAACCTACAAGAAAGAAAAAAAATGTTAGAACATGTTTTTGTTTTTTAATATATAAAAATTTGTAACTTACTTTTTCCTCACATTCTTTTTCCAAATTTTCCAATTCCACTTTGTGACTGGCAGCCATTATTTCCATCTTTTGAGAGTAGAGATCAAGCTGGTTGACATATTCATGCTGTTGTTCCTATTAGGAAAAAAATTAATATTAAAAAAAAAACAAGAAGAAGAAAAAGGATAATAAAATGTAAAAAGCTGCCAAAAGACCTTGAGCTCTGAAACGGACTGTGCAGTATTTAAATTTTCTTTTATTTTTTCAGACACAAAGTTGAACAAGTACGAAATGGCAAACTTTGCATCGCCCATGGATTGCAGCATATCCCAGTTTCCTTTAGGCCGATCTTCTAAAGAAAAAAAAAAGAAGAAGAAAAATAATATTAACAATATGACAAGTTAAAATAAAAGTATTAACAATATATTACCATGATGGATATCAAGAAGTTTTTGCTGAAGGTCAGAAATTTCGGCACTCCTGTTGGCGATGCCTTCTTCAATTTGCATCATGTCCCTTTCTAGTTTTTCTTTTTCTTCCTGGGATATAGAATTATCCTGCAGGCTTTCCTAAAAACAAAAATTAAAATTAAATAAATAGGTTTACTTTGATCAATTAAAAGTAAATAAATACGTATATATTTTTAAGTACTTTGACTATGGTTAATTCTTTTGTTAAAGAGGCTCGATCTTGGATTAGAGAATCGAGCGACCTCTGGGCTTGGTATTCGGACTCGAGCAGCTCGAGCTCCTCCTGCATCTTTTCTTTTATCCTCTCAGAGGCAGGGCCCTTCAGCCTTCTCATCTTGGCCTGCTTCTGCCTGTCCAGGACAGCCATGATTCTCTTGTTGGCGGCTGCGGCAGCTTCGAGCTTACGCTTCAGTACATTCTGCTGTAGCGAGTGCTGTTGTTCCATCTTTTTCAATTGGTTCTGCCGTTTAACATTCTGGGAACGAAGCAGGCACATTTCCCGATCTTTTTCTACCTTCCACGTTCTGAACTTTTCATTTTCACTCTTCATCTGCTGTATCAGTTTTACCTTGAGTTGTTTCATTGACTACAAGCAAATTGAGGAAAAATTAGTTAAATGAGCTTATCGAATGTTACAACTTGAAAATTATTATTTTACCATGATATCAGCCTGTAAAGCTTTCATTTTTTCATCAGAATTCTGCTTCATTTTAATTATCCTTTCTTGTTCTGCAATCTTTTTAAGAAGTGTTGTCTTCTGTTGCTCAAGTTCATGGAGCCTTTTCCTTCTCTGTTCAGCAACTCTATAAAATTATCAACACATATAAAGTCAAAGTTCAAATAAGCCTGAAATCGTATAATTTTAGTCGACAAATTTCTTACTTGCTGGCATTGTTCGCCGAATTTACTGCAGCGTTGTTGATCTGGCTGAGCAGCTCGTCCTTTTCAGCCTGCAAGGATTCAACTTGCTTTTTGAGATCATCGACCTCCTTTTGAGAAACGCCCTCAATGACTCCGAGTCCATTTGCGTTTTCGGACAATTTTGCCATTAGCTCTTCTTTCCAGACAAGATTCTTTGTGATTTGCTGAGAGAAAAAAAAAACTTGTTGAACTAAGAGCCGTTTAAAAATTACTTTAAATAAATAAATTCACACATACATAAATTTCTTTGTTGATCTTTGCCTGGCATAGAATGTGTTCGTGCCTTATTGGTGTATTGAGTCCATCCTCTTCAAATGGGCCCATATTATTTCCTGACAGCTTTTCATGACTGAGCATCTCCTTCTCACACTGGAGTCTCTGCACCTAGGGAAAAAGTAAAAAATGTGAAGGTATAAAAAAAATAAAAAAAGGACTTTGGGAAAAGGTTTACGTCTTTCATGCAATCAGCAAGGATTTTTGAGGAAACATGCAGGGTTCTCAGGAGTTCTTCGGGGACTGAATATACTTCAAAAAAACCAAGAACTTCTACCTGAACTTCAAGAATTTTGGTTTTGATGTCTTGCAGAATCTTGTTCTTGTCGATGTCACCTGATTCCGCAGTGATCGATTCAGACAGGTGGGTTAATTCGGAGAACTTCTCTTTCATTGTCTCTTCTAATTTCTCTGCCTGTAAATTTTATTTTTTCTTAAAAAATAAAATTGAAAACCGTGTTGAAATAATCCAATTTCGGTGAAAAACATACCATAACAGCTCGCTCCAATAAATTGGAGCTTTGAGACATATACTCGGTTAAAGTTTTAAGAAGCTCTTTGATACGAGTCTGAGCATCCTCCAACTCCTGTTCCAACTGTTTGTGACTCGGAGGACACTCATAACTGACACCACCTCCTTCAATAAATTTCAGCCTCATGTCTTCCAACTACAAACAAACGATTAAAAACTCATTGCCTTTTATAGAGAGAGGGAGAAAAAAAAGTTTACTTCTTTCTTAAGCTTGGATATTTCTGCACTCTGCGGGTCCTGGTTCACTACAGGTTTGTTCTTGATCTTCTTTGCCCTATCTGCATACCGAAGGGTGCTGACTGACTCGTCTTGGTTGTAATCCGCTGGACTCACACATGCTATCATAAGTGTGACAGAGTTTCCACCAAGTGAATCTAAAAAAAAAATTTTGTTTAAAAAAAGCATTCAGAATGAATTGTTTCAAAGGAACTTTATGAAATTTTTATGATTTATTAATCAAGATTTTTTAAGGACCTTGAAGGAGACGAGTGAGCTTGCTGTCTCTATAATTGATGAAGCTATTGGTTCCATCACAGAGTTGCGATATGACATTGCCGAGTACCATGAGCCCTTTGTTAATATTGACCCCTTCTTTGAACCTATCGCCTGTGGCACCAGTTTTTTTCGACCTTTCTGATCCGGCCAAATCCACTAAATGGAACTTAGATGTCATCACTTCCTTCCTGTAAAAACCGTCATGAAAAATAATACTGGGAAACTTTGAAATATGAAACAAATCTTACGGGTTTTGCTTGTTGGTTATTCTAATATTAAATGTGAATATGGCATGAGATCGTGATGATTGGGCGTTCATGGCTGTTGCTCCTACCACCCTACCTTGAGAACCCTTGAAAAGTTTAAAATTAATAGAAGATTTGGGAGTATTTTTTTATCGCATCAAAATAAAATTACTTCTTGAAGCCGGCTGAGGGCTTCGGCGGGGGAATGGACCTCCACTTCAGTCAGACCGGGAATGCAAACGCTGTTATGCTGCTCCCGCATATCGACCACGCTTTGCTCACGCGGTTTGTTAGTCAGCAAATCATAGAGACTTTCATTATACAACTAGGCAAATTAAAAAAATTTTTACATCATAAAAATAAACCAGATGAAAAATTTGTCTACGTACTTCTAAAAATGAGCAAGTCACTCTATACGAATAATCAGTCTTTGTGTCAATTGTATCAAATATATCATAAACTGCTCTAGGAATTATGCCCAGCTCGATGCCTCCGGAATAATTTGTACCCATAGTGTATGTTTTGCCAGAACCTGTTTGACCATATGCAAGGATAGTCAAATTGTAACCTAATAAATCAAATATCCATTATAACCTAGTTAAAAGCTGGATATTAAAAATATTTTTAAAAAGATAAATACCTTTGAATAGATTTTCAATAAGATGCTTCACTGCGCAATTGTAGACCTTGCTTTGTCCCTCGAACTCATCGAAGACATAATTAAACGTGAACGTCTGACTAGCTTTTCCGATTGAGATCTAATATTTTGGATTTACTACGCATTAATACCCAATTGCTGAATTATCAGATTAAAAATATTTACCTGAGGTTCATCGGGTATCCTCTCAATGCAAGAGCGACAGCCACTTTCAGTTTCTGATTTTACAAGTGGCCTGATTCGTACAGCAACCTTTACTGAATCCATCTAAATATTTAAAAACAATTTTTTTAGTAAAAAAAAGTAATTCCTGTCGTACAGGAATGTTTAACATCCAACTGGTTTTGAATTCTGTTGTGGAGGAGTCAAAACCACTGTACAATACTTTTTGCATATTATTCTCAATTATAAAATTGTGTGGGGCTGTATTGTGGAGCACGTTTATGTTAGCGAGTCGGTTTTAGCATATAGTATTGAAATGAAAATGAAGCATTGAGTACATGATGTGCCATGACCTTTCACAATATCAACAAATATTCAACAAGTGGCAGATTACTCGATAAAACTCGCTCTTTTATTAAAATAGGAAATTGTCATATCAGTTTATGTGTTTTACGACAGGGTTCTTCAACAAAGATGACCAATTCCCGTGATGATTCAATCCAAAAGAAATAGTTAAGCTTCCCTATACTTGAAATTTTGAACTTTTGGACAGCTGTGTTGTAAGGTAGATCTTAAAAATCATACATGATGGGCCACAACTTCTCATAATGTCAACAAATTTTCAACAAGTGGCAGATTACTCGATAAAACTCGCTCTTTTATTAAAATAGGAAATCGTCAAATCTGTGTATGTGTTGAACGACAGGGTTCTTCAACAAAGATGACCAATTCGCATGATGATTCAATCCAAAAGAAATAGAGTTAAGCTTCCCTATACATGAAATTTTGAACTTTTGGACAACTGTATTGTAAGGTAGAGCTTAAAAATCATACATTATGGGCCACAATGTCAAGAAAATATTCAACAAGTGGCAGATTACTCGATAAAACTCACTCTTTTATTAAAATAGGAAATTGTCAAATTTGTGTATGTGTTGAACGACAGGGTTCTTCAACAAAGATCGACCGATTCGCCTGATGGTTCAATCCAAAAGAATCAGAGTTAAGGTTCTCCCATTCTTGTAATATTGAACTTTTGGACAACTATATTGTAAGGTAGAACTTAAAAATCATACGTAGTGTATCAAAACCTTTCACAATGCCAAAAAATATTCAACAAGTGGCACATTGCTCGTCAAAAAAGCTCTTTCATTATAACAGTTGTTAGTAGAATCAGTGTTATATTCAGGATCATAAAGAATTCAGTGTATACAGGATAAACCACGAACGGGAGTTAAATGGCAATCAATAAACGAGAAAAAGTAAAATTACCTTAAAAGTAGGGTAAATTATGTACGAAATTCAACGAAACTGATGAAACCCCAAAAGTGGAGACCGTTGGCCAACCGCCAAAGGCCGGTTCTGACGTTCTGTTCTTGGTTCCTGCTTGCTCTGGCGGGTTCCAGCTTGCAATCGATTGTGCCGTTCTTATAGAGAAAACTCAATACAAACTCATTTTCTCCAGGATATAAAAAACAATTTTTAAAAAACCAATAACTGTTTTTTGCATAAAACCTCATTTCTGGGTGTTTTTTTAAAGTTTGGGTGAAAGAATTTGAGGACAAGAATCTCTGTCAACGGTCAAGGTAGTCATGATAATACCGAGTTATCATTTCAAATTATTTCTTTTATTCTAATTTCCCCTGTGCGTAAAACAACCATAGAATATACTTAAAAACGGTGGAAAATTAATATAAAGGGCTATTTGGATAAAATTCAATTTCAAATTGGACTTACAATATCTCAAATGAATTATGAAAAGCTCAAAGATTTGAAAGTCCCGTGTTGCGCGGGTTCTCTCCACTCACTGTAAACTGGAACTTTTGTTAAAATAATAAATACTTTTATTAAGCAACAATAAAAAATGCAACTTTGCAATGATAGAAAAAAATTGGAACAAAACGTAAATAACATGTGATGGTAAATACAAAAATCCGTTTGTTAAAAAAAAAATATTAATAAAAAAATAAAAGTAACTCTGGAAAGCTTTTCCCACTGACAGTGCCACTGTTGACTGTTATAAAATATAACATTAACTCAATCTTGTTTTTTACTTTTATTTTCAATCCCGGTCTTTCGTTTAAATGGTCGATTAATGGAGATAGATAACGTTCCCCAACCCTCTGGTAAATGTTTTACAATTTAATATTCAGTATGGAAGCTTTGTCGATCAGTCTGTGATTTTTTTGCAATCTGTCGCCTGTTTAAAACGACAAATCGGACCTGGTCCGCTTCGTCTCGCTACGCTTTTCGCTATTAACGATACAGTACAGACATGAATTGACCGAGAACGACCGGTCGGGTCAGTCAAATCCCTCAAACCTCAGGAAGGAATATCACAATTAACCAGTCTATAATTATATCATAAAGCAGATTCAAATGATCTCCCCTTATATGAGGTTTTATAATAGAATTTTTAACTACTGTAAATTAAAGGGTTTTCATTTTACAGTTTGTCAGTATGTTCATAGTGGTGAGAAGCATACTGAAACTAATGGTTTTATTTCTGTGTTTCACCTACCAATCAGACCACTTCGAATTGATTGATCACTATATTTTTGTCTGTAAATAATTTCAATGATTAATTTAAGACATGCGTGATATTTTTTATGTATGGTAATTACTGGACGCTGGTAAAATTCCATCATGTTGCACGTTCCGCAGCTGATGACCATAGCAACATAGACTGCTACACAGATGGTCCACACTTCACTTATCAAAGATAGAGGGAGTAGTGCAGGAATCTACATACCTAAATTGGGAATCAGCATCTCCTCCCCCCTTGGCAATAACACCTCCGTTTTTCAGGCGGAAATCTGGGCATTAATGTGTGTTGTTGAACAGTTATGGAAAATAAAATTAATGGAAAGGATAGAATTTTTTCTGACAGTCAGGCTAGTCTTAGGTCATTACAAAAGGATTTGTCAACCTCATGACTAGTGGAGGAAACTAGATCATATCAATAGGATCTCTTTCAGATTTGAGAACAAGGTGACCCTTATTTGGATACCAGCACATAAGGACACCATGGCAATGAAAAGGCTGTTGGCCTGGCCAAAGAAGGTTCTAATACTGTGTTTGTCAGGCCACAACCGGTATTATTTCACTCTATGAGCTCAGCGAAGGAATTAATAACTGGGGCATGAAACAATTCCTCAAGGAGTGGAATTTAACTACAGACACAGGCAAGGAGTTTGTTAAGGTGATCAAACCAGCCGAATCGAAATGGCTATTCTCTATCTCAACGAAGGGAATTAGGAGGCTGATTGGTATCCTGACGGGCCACTGCCCACTGACAAGACACCTCTTCGTAATGGGTATCCTACCAGATCCCTTTTGCCGCTTCTGAGAAATAAAAGAAGAAACGACAAAGCACTACCTCGCAGAATGTGATAGGTATGCTAGGTCCAGATTTGAAATCTTTGAAGGAGCAGACATTACCAAATCACTCCCCGAGATAAAATGGTCCAATATTTTGTGAACAAGTCCAAGAGATTTATGCCGGATTTGTTTCGTAGATGCTGGCGGGAGTAAGTATTGGATATCTACCCTCCAAGTCCGGCGCTACCAGGGATAGTTGCCGGCTGTTGAGTAAAGGGTTTAATGGATAAAAATTTTAATAATTTGCTTGATAATTTAATTTATTAATTCACAATTTAAGATATAAATACGGAAATTAAAATCTGGCCAGAAACAAAACAAAGTTAACAAGAAGAAATATAGATATAGAGAGAGAGATGTTGATACAAAAAAAAAAAAAAAATTGCATGCGCATGCGCGAGGATTTTAAGGCATGATTTTTTTAGAGTACCAGTTAATTTTTGAGTCATATATTACATATATTTGCGAAGAAATTAACGAAGTCAAAATCAGGCCAAAAAAGTCTGCTCAAGTGATTTTGCCAGCCGTGACAAATATACAAATATCATTTCTTCCATATTTATCATCATATTTAAAAATTAAATTTCTATATTTTAAGGTTTGAAGGGTTTTGGGTTGATTATACTTTTAGACTTGAGTAGGACTTTTAAATGGACTCTTCATGGATGCATTGAGCAGGAGTGGTGAATTAGCTATCAAATCTGCCTAGTACGATTATTTTTAAGGCATTGGTGTAGTTCCAAAAGTGAACTGTCTGTAATTAAAGATTCATTAGTTTTCAATAGTCAATTAGTTTTAGAGAGAATTTTGCATTAAAACCTCAGTCTAGAGAAGCAAATCATATAATCATTGTAGTTATTGGTCAGTTTTTATGTCTTAGTATTTTAATGTTAGTATTGAGACAGATATGATTCATATCAATTATGGTGGTTTAATTTCTACATTTTAGAGTTAGCATGCCACAAAAAGAAAATATAAAGCTAGTATCACCTAAAGAAATTAAAAATTTACCTTCTAAAAAGACTCCAGGATATGATCCTATCACTGGAGAAATACTAAAACAATTGCCAAAAAAGGGTATAGTTAAACTAACACACCTATTTAATGTTGCAATCAGACTGAAATATGTTCCCAGCATCTGGAAATGCGCAGAAGTCATTATGTTAAAAAATACACAAAAAAACCGGCGATCGAGGTCAAATCATATAGACCAATATCACTACTACCGACGGAGTCTAAACTCTTCGAAAAGTTATTATTAAAACGAATAAAACCCATTGTAGAAAAAACAAAATCATTTCTGACCACCAATTTGGATTCCGAACAAGACATTCAACAATAGACCAAATTCACCGATTAACGGACGTATTATAAAAATTTTTTGAAGAAAAACAAATTTGTTCTGCTATCTTCCTTGATGTCTCACAAGCTTTTGAACGAAGGACTCATCAAGGTATGCTACCAAAGCAGTATGTCGATATTATCAATTCCTCAATCAACAAGAAGTTCAATATTCAAAATTAAAAACAATAAATGCAGGAGTGCCACAAGGTAGCATATTATGTCCACTGCTTTACTTGTTATACATCAGTGATTTTCTGAAAATAGATGGAGTAAAAATTGCAACATTTGCAGATAACAGCAGTGACATCACTAGGACCGACTATCACCCATACAACCAAAATCCTACAAAATGCATGTAATAATATAAACGAATGGACAAAAAAATGGAAAATCAAACTAAATCAGCATAAATCAGTTCATCTAATCTTTACAAACAAAAAAGTGGACCATGTTCCATCGCTCACAATCGATGGAACCACTATACCATACAGCGATACAGCTAAATATTTGGGAATGACCTTAGATGCCTTAGAAGAAAAAAAGGACAGAAATAGGTTTAAGGTATAGGCAACTATACTAGTTGATAGGACGTGGCTTGCTATACAAAACAAAATATTATTATACAAACAAGTCATAAAGCCTATGTGGACATGTGGTATTCAACTGTGGGGTTGTACCAAACACAGCAATATCAAAATCATACAAACACTTCAAAATAAAATCTTATCTAACATGGTCAATGCACCTTGGTACATAAGGAATAAGGACTTACATAGGGATCTTAAGATCCCTGAAGTCACGGCAGAAATACAAACATTTCCCACCAAACACCAGGCTCGCCTCAGCCTTGGGTAGGACTTTTTCTAACTCTCTTAGATAATAAAAAAGAAACTTTCAGTATCAACATTCATATCAAGAATGTTAAGCTTAACTAGCTGTGTGGGTAATAAAAGTTAAATTCTTGAGACTTGGGTAGGATAATGGACTCTTCATGGATGCATTTAATAGGAGTGGTGAATTAGCTATGAAATCTGCCCAATATGTTTTTTTAAGCCATTGATGTTGTTCGAAAATTTTCAAACACAATCATTATCCATAATAATTGACGGTTCATTACATTCCTAGTAAATTTAGAGAGAAGGTTTGAATGGTTTTGGCTAGTTTCGGAGAGAAATTTGCATTAGATCTTCAGTTTAGAGAAGCAAATATATAATCATTTTGTATGTCTCACTATCAAGACATATCATTGAATAAAATCATTCATATCAATTCTGGTCAACATATTTTGTGTATCAGAAGTTCATTTTAGGGGGACTAGGTTTGAAGGGTTTTTGGTTGATTTAGCTTTAGATTAGGTAGGACTTTTTAAATTGTCTCTTCAAACAAATACAATAATTGCAGTTATTGGTCATTTTTTATGTCTTAGTATTTTAATGTTAGTATTGAGACAGATAACAATTATGATCAAAATATTGGATGTAATGGTAATTAAATTTCTACATTTTAGGGTTTAGGTTGATTTTAGATTTTGACCTGGGTAGGACATTTTAAACGGCTTTATTTGGTCGCAATGAGCAGGGGTGGTGAAATCTGCCTCGTATGATTTTTTTAAGCCGTTGATGTTTGAAAATTTGTGAACACAATCACTGTCCATAATTAAGGAATCTATTTCCTAGTAAGTTTAGAGAGAAGGTTTGATGGGTTTTGGGTTGATTTTAGCGTTAGACTTGGGTAGGACTTTTGAATGGACTCTTCATGGAGGGAGCGAGCAGGAATGGTGAACGATGGTGAACTAGCTAGCAAATCTGCCTAGTCATGCAGTCACCAATCGTGCAGGTACGACGGGATAAATCCAACGTACCCACATCTAAAGATAAATTGTGAATTTTAATCTGAAGATGTTTCCACCGTTGTCTCAAAAAGGGTAAAATTTGTTGAAAAACAGGCTCGCTAGAGTTCAACATTGGCTCAAAGGGTTTCCGGTCGGGGTGCGCACGAGTTTCAGCGCAGCGCCCGGCCATTTCTCTAGTTTTGTTAGTGCTGCTGACAAGTACGTTTTAGTTTGCAGTTCCCCCTCGTAACTAATATTCGTTAGGACAGAAAATTTACCAGATCTCTTTGGACATTTTAAACGAAACGTTTAGTTTAAAGTCACGCTAAACCGCGTCGGACGTTCCTAAGAAGAGGTACCATCCCAAAGGTGAGATTATATTGACAAAAAAAAACCACATCTCGTGGGCCGAAGTTGTTTCCTCTCGGGTTTTCCCTTTTTTTAGGGTTTCTACTGTGAGTTTCTTTTCCGGCTCGGGTCCAGGTGAAATTTAACAACCCCGGCTTTACCCGGTATCCGTCCTTTTAAGGTTTAAAGGTGAGTGTTGATTAATATCGACAAAACGGATACCGGGTTTTTGCCCTCGTCGGACGGCCATGCTTAGCGTTTTTGACTTGTCTTTTATGTTGCCGCGTTCTAGCTCCGGTACGCTAGCCGATTTCAGGCCCGAAGGATAAAAACTTTTCACGACGAAGCCGAACCCTTTTTTTTTATAACCTTTTTCCCTTTTCTTTTTCCACATGAAATCTGTTCCTTTGTTCTTATCTTGGGCCCGTAATTTTGGCTTTTACTTTTTTGTTTTACCCCCTTTTTCTCTTTTATTGGTAATGACTCATGCTATTTTTAGTTCTCCTCTCTTACCGAAATTCATTTTTCCTTCATGCCTTTATAAATCCTATAAAAAAAATACAACCTAAAAAAACACAAAATAAGTAAGAAAAAAAGAACAAAAAACCCCACAAAGTTAACCTTTAAAAACAACAAAAAGAAACCTTAAAACCCCCAACCCTAAAAGAAATAATGTAAATTATAAAATTAACATAATTTCAGGTCAATGCAGTGGTAAAAGAATTTACCAATATCAAAACAAGCCAATTGATTGAACATAAACTGAAATGGTGACAGAAAGACCGCTGAGCCCTCAGTACATCGGGAGGGAGTTCGTTCGGCAGTACTACACCCTTCTGAATGAAGCGCCATCCCATCTTCATCGGTGAGTTAATCAATTTTAATAAAAATCGTTTGTTGCATTGTATTGTGTAACCTCTTGGTCTTGGATATTTTGAGTAGATTTTGTGTTAAGGCGTGTACATGCAAGGCAAATCTTGGCCGAACATAGGTCACTGCCACATTGACAGTCATTGGCTCATCATCATCAACCCAAGGGGTCAGGGCCTATGGATTCGGCCATGTGGAATCCACAGTATTTTGATGTTAACGCCAGAGGTTCGAACCTTGAGCAAGAATGTGTTTCTTTGGCTCTGATTCGCCTCCTGTACACACTACGCAAATCTAAGCCAGCGAATATTTCCAGCCGAACATTGGTATCCATCAAATTGGCAGTTATTGGCTCATCATTATCAACCCAAGGGGTCAGGGCTGAGGGATTTGACTATGTAGAATCTACCATATTTTGATGTAAACGCCAAAAGTTCGAACCTTGAGCAAGGCTGAGTTAAGTTGGCTCTGATTCGCTTCCCGTACACACTAAGCAAATCTTGGCTGATGAAGCAGTTGGTTGTCTCTTTTTGGCCGAGATTTGGATACACCTTTTTGAACAGGAGGATGGCTTTTTGCGTCTATATGTCCTCTTCTATTGGGAATTATGTGAATGTTCAATTAGTCATCCTCATGTTCAGTTCTCAGTTCAATTAATCATCTTCATGTTCAGTTCTCAGTTCAGTTAGTCATCCTCATGTTCTGTTCTCAGTTCAATTAGTCAGCATCTTGTTCAGTTCTCAGTTCAGTTAGTCATCGTCATGTTGATTCTCAGTTCAGTTAGATGCCTCCTGTTCTGTTAGTCATCCTGTTATTCAGTTAGTAGACCTCCTGTTCAGTTTTCAGTTCAGTTAGTCATCGTCATGTTGATTCTCAGTTCAGTTAGACGCCTCCTGTTCTGTTAGTCATCCTCTTATTCAGTTGTAGACCTCCTGTTCAGTTCTCAGTTCAGTTAGTCATCCTCATGTTGAGTTCTCAGTTCAGTTCTGGGGTCTGAATCCATGGCCTTCGCTAAATACGCCGCTGCTCTACCACTTGAGCTATCGTGACTTTGATCCTCTCCAACACCAAAAAATGGCAATAAGAGAGAAAATTCGAAAGGTTGTAGGTTGAGATGGGGAGTTGGTGCCCGAGTGGATCAAACTATCGAAGTCAGGATAGCTCAAGTGGTTAGCGCAACGGCGTAGTTAGCCTAATGTCGTGGATTTGAATCCCCTCGTGACATTTTTTTCATTTCAATCAAAACCTTACAAAAAAAAGATTGTCTTATTTATATTTACTCCAGCTTGTTACCCCTTTGTTTAGAAAACAAAAGACAGTCATGAGAGAAATCATCACTACATGAAAGTTTGGCAACCACATTACGATTTCTCACTACAGGGATGAACTACAAAGAACTTAAGTTCTCTACTACGATTTCTGATCATTGTTAGGGGTTATCAATACCGCATCTCTCATTGCATTTGTTCCTTTGTTTTGAAAACGTCGACCAACTGGTTGAGGATCGAATTTCTTTTATTTCTATCGTGGTAATATAATCATTGTCCACCATTTTCATAAACATGGTAAACTTTCATACAATTCAATCACCTCAACAATAAAATCTCGATTGTATGTCATTACCAATAAAGAATAAACGTTTTTGACTTTTTGAGAATGTACGACGGAGATGTTTGCTCAGTGACAGAAAGACTGAGACTACGCCAAAAAAACGAGGGTTTTCCCATTCATGACCAGGCCAGCGCGCCAAAATCCCCACCCTCCATGCCAGGTTTTCCCATTCACGAACACGCCATGCCATCGTCGTGCCATAGATATTTGGAGTGGTGCGATGGAGTTTGGACCGGTCGAATATTCGGCACAGCCGGGCACGCCAGTTGTTTTGCCATTGACGTGGTTTTTGGAACGTCGTCGCTCCATTTGGACTGCTTGGAGCGATCGTGAATGGCCACCTTTAGACGCCTCCTGCTCTGTTAGTCGTCCTCTTATTCAGTTAGTAGACCTGTTCAGTTCTCCGTTCAGTTAGCCAGCATGTTGTCAATTAGTCAGCATCCTGTTCAGTTCTCAGTTCAGTCAGTAGCCCCCTGTTCAGTTAGTCATCCTCATATTCAGTTCTCAGTTCAGTTAGACAGCCTCCTGTTCAGGTCTCAGTTCAGTTACTCAGCCCTCTGTTTAGTTAATCATCCTCGTGTTCAGTTTAAAGCTCCCTGTTCAGTGTTCTCATTTGAATTAGTGAGCCTCCTGTTCAGTTAGTCAGTTCTCAGATTCTCAAAGCAAAAAAAAAAAAAAAAAAAAAAAAAAACAGGATGCAAAGGTAACTTAATTCTTTTATTATATGATGCCTTCGTCAGGTAAAGAGTAATTTTTTGTAATGACAAGTAGAAGAAAAATTAAAACATTGGTTCATCCTTATCAGATCCTGAACAAAGGAGTCCCTTATCGGATGTTTTACTGTACACATTGTATAAAATAAATATACATTGTATACAAATTGGATGTGTTTGTAAGTTCACTGCTTACCCATACATCGAGTAATCATTTCTATCTCAGATAAGATCAATTATCTGAGCTTTAATAGAATAAACAATCGAAGACGAAAGTAAATGTTAATTGTATGCTGCATAGGTTTTATAACAACAATTCATCGTTCATCCATGGTGGCCTGGATTCACACAACAGGGAGACTGTAGCTGTGATAGGCCAGCGTAATATTCATCAGCGGATCAAACAGCTAAGCTTTCGGGACTGTCACACGAAAATCACTCAAGTCGATTCTCAAGCGACTCTTGGCGATGGTGTTGTCGTTCAAGTTTCGGGCGAGATCTCCAACGATGGCCTACCGATGAGGAGATTCAATCAGACGTTTGTGCTAGCACCGCAGACCCCCAAGAAATACTATGTCCATAACGACATATTTCGCTACCAGGTAAACGTTCTTTTATTTTTTTATTTATTTTAGTCTAAGTCAGTGGTGTTTTATGAGTTTTAAATTATTTTTATCTTTTCAAGGATATGCTTACGGATGAGGAAATTGAAGGTGACATTGCTAGGTCGGAAGTGGATAACGATCAAGAAACTGAAGGACAGCAGAATGATATTCATCAACCTGAAGTAAGTCAATATAATTTACATTAAGATTAAAATTACTTGCGCCGCGACCAATATTGGTTTATTGCGCACTTCCATTTTATATAGAGCTCATTAAGCTGGTTTTTTATCAGATCCCAAAGCTTTTTCAAGCAATCCCATGTGTAATCTTCAGGGGTTTTTCCTTTCCCAAGAGTAGGAATCTCAGCCTACATAAACTTTTGCACCAGTGGAGGATGCGTTCGTTTCTTCTTCAAGGCAATATCTGCATAGTCTTGTTTCTGACACTCTGAGCCTATCTGCAGGCTGCAGTGTCCAGTTAGCAGTCTGATTTGTAGTTCTGCTTTTTTTTTTTTTTTTCAATGGTTCTCTGATGATACATGATTTTTTGTATGCCTCTGCCCTGTGCTACATTCCATTGAGCGGACTTTTAATACCTTGTCTGATAGATCTACATTTTTGGCAGTTTGTTATTCCACAATAGGTGTCTTCATTGAACTTCCCTGGGCAAATTTATCACCCTCTTCATTATCCCTCTGACTTATGTGCCCTGGCGATGATTTATATTCGTTATTTCTGACTTATAGGCACCACAAGGACCTGCAGTTGGATACTACTCGGCCGGAATGAATCAAGTCGTCAACGGAACATCTGAGACAATACACGAAGAACCCACGCCGGCTGTGCCGGTTCCCCAGCCCGAACCTCCGATTCAGACTCAAATACTTATGAACCAGATGGAAATGATGCAGCAACCAGTAGTAAGCTATAATTAATTAAAGTTAATTTGGAATGTTATTGATGGAAATAATTTTTTTAGACGACCCAAGAACCCGCTCCTCAACCTCAGCCTCTTAACCAGACACCGTACATCGTTAATGACATCCAGCAAAACCAGATCGAACAGGAGGAACAACAACAGCAGTACCATAACCAAATTAACCAACAACCTGCTCCCACTCAACCGCCAATGGGTAAACATCTTTTATATCCAATATAATGACCATTTTTTCATCTTTGGTTTGTATTCATATTTACAGATACTGGAAATGAACCTAAGACTTACGCTACACTTGTAAAATCTGGTGGTGTAATAGCTAATTCTGGCCCTGTCTTTTACAAAAATAATGCTCCGCTTATGATGACATCCCTTCCGACTACAGTATCTCCTGTAAGTTAAATATAAACAGTCGTTGCCCGAGTAGAAAATAAAAATAAATAATTTCAGCCACCGGTCGATAATGCAAAAGTTGACACGAGGCAAAACTTTCCTATGCATAATAAACCCCCAGTGCAAAATGTGGAACAGAGAAATAACATGAACAATGGACCTAGACCACAAAACAGTGACGACAACGGTAATTTATTTGTATATAATTAACCCATAAATTTAAAAAAAAATTAAATGATTTATTTATGTTCAGGAAATTATGGAGGCGCTGACGGAGATAGACGACGAAGCAACCAATATTCTGACAGGAACGCACAGTATTCGGATTCACATCAACTGTTCATCGGAAATCTTCCTGCTGGACAATCTGAGGAGCAATTTAAGGTTGAATAAAAATGCGTTTATTTTATATATAATTTTGTATTCATATTATTCAATTTTTAGGTCTTTTTCGCAAGGAACTTTGGCCCGGTTGTGAACGTTAAAATTTTGCAGAAGAATAATAAAAAAGATTACGGATTCGTAACATTTGAAGATGCCAGTACTGTACAGGCCGTGTTGAATGCTAAGGTATGTACATATGAACACAGGTGGTAAATAATTACGGGAAATTAACCACTTGGAAATAATCAACTGGCCAGATTGGACCTCGACCGCTTTTTCGAAGTTCTTGATATGGTATTAAAACAAGGGGACCATGGTGGCTAAGTGGTTAAGGGTGTGTGGATCGTATTTACTAGCGATCCTTATTTGTTTGAGAACGACAGCCATAACTAAAGACCGGATTTTTATGCAGTTGCATATTTCATTTCCCATTAAATACGACCGAGGAAATCTATTATCTATCCAAATCGTGTATCTAGGAAGCTGTAGGTTAAATTTTATAGAGCTTATTTTTGTAAATTTGATAAATATTGCATAAAATCGCTTATTTGAACAATATCGCATATTTGAATGATTTTTACGTAAAATCGCAAAATATTTAAATTATTATATTAGTTTTCGGGGGAAGCATAAAAGTCTAAAAACAATAAGTTAATGAAAAGTCAGTTTAATTAAAAGAAAACCGAAACAGGCCAATGGGAAGAGAAGATGCTAGGAATACCGACAAAATATAAAAACCATTGTTAGGTCTTATTTCAATATTCTCACAAATCTTAAGTGATCGTAGGCACTATTTCACGGAAAACAATTTAAGGTGGCCATTCATGATCAGTCCCAGCAGTCCAAATGGAGCGACGCCGTTCTAAAAACCACGTCAATAGCAAAACTAAACTGGCTGTGCCAAATATTCAACCGGTCCAAACTCCATCGTGCCACTCCAAACATTTACGGTGCGACGATGGCATGGCACGTTAGTGAATAGCATTTTTTTAGTTAGCTATATATAGTTTTTAAATAGCACTGTCTTTCTGCCATTGAGCAAACATTTCCATTCTACATTCTCAAAAAGTCAAAAACGTTTATTCTTTATTGGCGATGACATCCAATCGAGATTTTATTGTTGAGGTGATTGAATTGTATAAAAGTTTACCATGTTTATGGAAAGTGGTGGACAATGATTACTACGATAGAAATAAAAGAAATTCGGTCCTCGACCAAACTTTTCAAAACAAAGGATACAAATGCAACGGGAAATGCGTGCGGCATAAAACCCCTGCATTTTAAATCTAAAATGGGGGAGGGCCATCTTGTTGTTACAAAAAGCATACCCCCTCACGCGTCTTCCGACAAGCATAGCTCAATCTTATCCAAATTTTCCTTTCAATAAAAGTGGCATAAAATAAGGTCTAGAATCGAATTCTATAATAAAAATATGGGATTTTTGTTTAAAACGACAAAGTTAGTGTCATTTCCGAGCTAGATTAGAAAGTTACGTTAAATCTGTTACAACCATGCAATTCCTAGCCAAAATTAACTTGGGGTTTGTATAAGACCATTTTTTGCTAAAGTTAATTGTTTCTGAATTAAGTGGGTGGAATATTTCTAGTTGATACACCTTGTACATAAAAAAATATAAACCAAAATGGGCAGAAAGACTTCCATTTTTTGAATATTTTTTTCTTTTTACATTTCCAAGTTGGTCGCTGGTCGCTTGCCTTGGTAAAAATTTCTCATATATTTTTCTAAAAATGTTTTACATAGAAGACATTAAAGCATGCCATTTTTTGTTTCTGTTTTTTTTTTAGCCGATTAAATATCCTGATGATAGTGGTGAAGAAATCAACGTGGAAGAAAAGAAAAGACGTGTTGGCGGCGGAGGCGAAGGCGGCGGCGGCAGAGGCGGGCCAAGAGGAGGCGGCGGAGTGATGAGGCCTGTGATGGGCGGTGGAAACGGTCAGAGGGCAGGCGGTCCACCCGGTCGAGGAATGCGTCCATTTAATTCCAACAGGCGCTAAATTTTGAATTAGTGACAGATTTAATCTTTAAAAAAAGCAAAAAAAAAATTGTTTTCCATTTATCAAACAAAAACACGAGAAAAAAAAAACGAATTAAGAAAAAAAAGGACTTATACACTCACCCAGATCCTGGTGAAATAGCGGATCCGAACTGATTATTTCAAATGTATATTGTTAAATTTAGGCAGTGATTTGTTATTGTAGAATATAAACCAAGCCTTGTTTGTACAAAACAAAAAAAACATTAAAAAAAGCATTCATTGGGGAGGCACATTAGAACTTTCATTTAGCTGTAAATTATCATTGCCTTCTTTCTCGATGAATTGTCTAATGTACTACTAAAGGATAAGAATATATCGAAAACTAAGTCAATACTGAAATATATTTGAGCGAAAACCGTTTTAATTAAGGCAGGTTCATATTTAAAACGGGGGTTTGTTTTTCCAGCTTTTCTTTTCTTTTTTTGGCTGAGTGGTTTTATTTAATTTTCTTTATATATTTATATATATAAAAATAAAACTTTTTTCCCCATGCGATCTTCGATTCAAAAGTTATCATTTTTTAAAGCCAAAAATTAGAAAATAATATAATAAGACCTCTAATTAATGGTATTAATTATTCTTATTCCAAACAAATAGTTACCAACATCCTGTCTAGTGTTTAAAAAATGTCAACAAATGTTAAGTTAAATTAGGTTGATTTAAACAAATTCTCTGGTAATTATTTGTTTTTCTGCCTTTCTTGACTTGCTTCTTAGGAAAAAAGCCAATTTTTAACTTTTTTTCTTGAAGATAAGAAAATTTACTTTTATAACTGTCTTGTTAATAATTGTTTATCTAATTCTTATGCAAATAATAGTATTGTTTTATTTCGTTTTAACAAATTTTTCAATTTTGTTTAATTAATATTAACTTAACAATAAAATTCAATATAGTTTTGCTTAAATTTGAAGTCTGCTGCTTAACAAAACTTTTTAAAGGTGTCAATACTTTGAGGAGTTAAAAAAAATTGAAAACTGTCCTTAAAATTTGTTAATTTTTGAATAGCATCGGCGTAGACTAAATTTGTTCTGCTCTAAGTATTGTTGTTCAGAATAATAAAAACTACACGAAGACTTGTAGATTATTATGTATAAAAATATTTGTATGTATAAAAAAAACAAAACGTAAAAACAAGACACAGTTTCAACAATTAAGAAGGAGTGTGTTGAGGCTGTGATGTATTTTTAGAGCATTTTTCTAAAATATTGATTCACACTACCTTTTCGTAATTGGTTTAAACTGCAGTAGCTTGTTATATCCTGGATACGATGCCGTTATTGTAAGCACGATTTTGACTTATACAATTTTTCTCAAAACAAAACAGTCATTTTTTGTTGTCTTTGTAGTGTACTCTGAAATGTGTCTTCATTTTCAGCAATAAAGTTTTTTTTTGTCTAACAGTTCGGTTAACGCCTTTCTTTTTCGTGTGTTCTACCCATGTCTTTATTTTTGAGGGGGAATGGTTTTTTTTCGGCTGACACACTATTCAAAAGGTTGGTAAATTGTAAAGGAACTGACTTTTGGCTCTAGGACATGTTTTATTGGAATGAAGATACATTTATTATTATTATTATTTGCGATGAGAAATATGAACCTTGCTCATTTATGAAACTATAAATATCTTTGATCTCTTTCAAAGTGTTTTCACTGAATTTTTGTTTTCTTTTGTAAAGATATTGTAAATTTCATTTAGGCTTATAATAATATAAATTTTGTGAAATATTGGCTTGACATTTTCTAAATAAATCTCAGCCTATTTGTTTATTAATTAATTTTGTTTATTTTTAACCAATCCTGCATTTGTTTAACTTCAAGGTAAGTATAACAAAAATACCAAATCTGAGTTTAAAAAATACATAAATTTTAATTTCTATGGTATTAAATCCCATTAGTTAGCTGCTTTTACTTGGCAAAATCCATTATAAGTCCTTGACCTAATGGAAAAGTTACGTCCCATCAAATCAAAGTGTTCCACAAGGCTGCTTCCTTGGTCCCATTCTCTATTCGCTATACCCTAAGCATTCAATGCACCCAGGACCATTTCGCCTTTTAAAGAATGATTTAAGAAATGGAGTATCACAGGACTTAATTGTAAAAAGACAACCCGCTCGATCCAAAAGAATAAAACCAAACAGAAGATACAAATTACTCGAATACAATTGTGACTAAAAATCTGGAAGTACAGAATTGATGGGAGAACTGTGGTTCAACCGAAATGACTTGATTCATTCGTCCCAGTTCAAAATTCTTCGAACCATTGCCCAAGCACCTTTACACGCAACATACACCTCTCTTGAAACTACAAGAAGTCATTATTGATGAGTTCATAACCCTGGACCGTTATCCCAACCTGCAACCCCAACATCCCTCTGCCAAAAAGCGAATCGAGTTTCTCATGGTTTGTTTTGTGGGCATGAGCTCACTTTACACCATTCCAAGTGGTTTTTTCTGACTTTTCCATCACAGTGGAAAGATCTTTCAAATTATACCTTTTACCATAAAACATCAGTATTCTACCGTTTATTAGTGCCGTAGGGAATGTGGACAATGGACATCGGAAGGAATGCGTAAGGTGCTTTCTTAGGCGTCAGGCAAGCCTTTGATCTAGTGTGTTCTAGTTTAACTGGAAACTTAAGACCATCCTTCCGACCACTTATTGACACAAATTTGAAGGACGTCAAAAAAATCGAAGAGTCAAACTGTCAGTCGGGAGTTGAGGAATCGCAGAGTTAAAGAGTCGTCAAAAGAATCAAAGAGTCCAACTGGGAGTCGGGAGTTGAGGAATCGCAGAGTTGAAGAGTCGTCAAAAGAATCGAAGAGTCAAAACGGGAGTTGAGGAATCGAAGGAATCGCAGAGTTCAAGAGTCGTCAAAAGAATCGAAGAGTCAAACTGGGAGTCGGGAGTTGAGGAATCGCAGAGTTGAAGAGTCGTCAAAAGAATCGAAGAGTCTAACTGGGATGAGGAATCGCAGAGTTGAAGAGTCGTCAAAAGAATCGAAGAGTCTAACTGGGAGTCGGGAGTTGAGGAATCGCAGAGTTGAAGAGTCGTCAAAAGAATCAAAGAGTCAAACTGGAAGTCGGGAGTTGAGGAATCGAAGGAATTCTTTGAATCGATTCTCGATTCCTTTGCCCATCTCTATGGACCCCTGTCATTCTCATTTCTCTCTTATCACTGAAGCATGGCCTACACGGATTGTTCTAGGAAAAAAAAATATAGTAAGGTGGACATCCGTGTAGGAAAGTGCCTTTTCATTGATTAAGGATAGGGTAAGAGTGATTATTTTATTAGCTCTCTCTATTTTATTTATTTATTTATTTTTTGGAAACATCCCAAACATAGAATAGTAGTGTTAATCAGTATTAATTTTTGTTTGTAGATGATATAGATGTAATTTTTTTCAGGGTATGGTATAGTATGGTATACTGCTCCCTTTAAGAGCTATTGTATCCCCCGTTCTCTGCCTAAAGCACATCGGTGAGTCCTATTTCATCAAGAAACTTGATTAATAGGCTTGGTTTCAGTGGTTGAAGCTCTTCTATGGACACATTATACATCCCAAAACATTTCCTCCTGCGGGCTAATGTAGCTCCGCAGTTTGTGAATAAATGTGTTGGTGTCTCTTCTGCCTCCTTGCAGAATCTACATGTGCCATCTTGGATTGTTCNAATGTTAGTGTTTTATCTAGTGTGATGCCCAGATATTTGACTTCATTTTTGATTTCTATCACAGTGTTGTTGAGTTTGATTTCTTTCATGTGATCTAGCTTCCTTTTTACAGTTGTTTTGTTTGGATTAATCCCTAAGCCTGCGCTTTTACACCATTCTTTTGTGATTTTCAGTCCCTCTTGGATTATATCGCAGAGGTTTCCTCGAATTTTCCCCTGGCTCACAGAACTATGTCATCTGCATATCCCTGACATTTTATTCCTGAGTGGTCCAGGGTTTCGAGCAGTTCATCAACTGTTAGGCTCCATAGAAGAGGTGATAATATCCCTCCTTGAGGACATCCTTTTGTTGTTCTGACTTCTATAGTCTTTATTCTTACATTTGTTTCGGCTATTATGGTTCTTAGCAGTTCTCCAATCCATCTAGATGTGGTTTGGTATACGTGTTTTTTCCCCAGGGAGGCTTCCATTGATGCATGAGATGCATTGTCAAAAGCTCCCTCAATATCAAGGAACGCGCAGATTGCTATTTCCTTTGTTTCCAGTTTTTCCTTTAGGTCACTGGTAAGTTGGTACAGTGCAGTTTCTGATGATCTTCCTGCTCTATATGCATGCTGACAGTAATGGAGAGGCTTGTTTACCAGTGCTGGCATTCTTATATAGTTGTCTATCAGCTTTTCAAGGGTCTTTAATAGAAAGAATGTTAAGCTGATTGGTCTGTAGGATTTAGGTGATGTAGGGTCTTTTTTCCCCACTTTTGGTATAAAAACCACCCTTGCCCTACGCCATGTAATGGAGAAGGCTAATTACTCTCTGATGTTGCCCGGTGTCAAGGCAGCCACATTAACACAGTGAATCACTCGGCACAGAATGCATGACACCTTTGATTGGATGCTGTTTTCTGTCAAGCCCAAGACTTTCGTTAGGGGGTGATAGGATGTAGGGAGAGGGGTTGGTGGTAGGAGTTTTCCTTAGTGAGGAGTGGTTGGGAAAGCGAGTACCTCAATTAGGAATAGTACAACCGGAGCCCCTTTAGCCTTTTCACACCGTACCATGCCGTGGGGATCAATGTGAATCCCCTCGTCAGGACGGTGATGAACATTTCCCGGGATTCACTACTTGGAAACGGTGTTGGTCTTTGAACCCCTAAATTTTGTTTAAGAAATGTTAAAAAAAAGGAAATTTATTTTTTTAAACCCTGGTTTAAAAAAGGGACCCTTGTCACATATTTTCACAATTTTATCTATCAAAATGTAGAAAATTAGTTTTGTTAGGGAACATGTCGAAGAATGTCAAGGCTGGTGATCAATTGACAACAGCATTCATTGTCATTGATATGAATCATCGAATCGACAGTAGCATTCATTGTCAATTCAATGATATGAATCATTTGAAACGTTTATTTTTTACTCTTCAAGTAGATTTTTGTTTCAGTTTAAAAAATGTCATTTATAACATATAAATAAAAATTTTATCTGGCTGTCTTTATCTCTTATGTAACCAGAAAGCCATAGATATTACAAACCAGTGAAAGTGGGACATGATAGTTGTTTTCTAATTCAATCCTGTCAGCAAATTATGTCTGGCAACAAAGGAAAAATTGCCATTATCGGAAGGTATGTGATATCTTTTATACAGCTTTAATTATGTTAACTTGGATTTTTATATTTATATATAACTGTCATATTTAAATTTTAGATTTTTATCATATTTTATTATAAAGGCCTGCTCTTTCTGGCATACATTTACAATGCTGTGTTAATTATCAACATACACAAACATACTTCTAAATACAGTGGAAATATTCTGTAATTAAAATGACCCTAAAACCCAACAAACCTATTCAATGTACAAGCTCCTTTCACCCTGCAGAGGTGATCTCAAATATAATGAAATATAAAATTAATCTATTAGGTTTTATGGTCTGATTGACCAAATAAATTCTTTTCAAATAATTAATTTTTAATTAAGGTTTTTGTTGAAATAAAAAAGTCAATGGCACGAGCCGAAGGTCGTGGGGTTTAAATCCTGCTTGTGGCACTGACTTTTTTATTTCAACATGTATTAGTATGTCCTCTGTGTGTTGTGACAGTGAAGCACATCCTAGAAGAATGCGAACAGCTGGCACGACACAGAGAGCGGTGCGACCTACCTTCCGAGATCTCAAAAATTCTAAGGCATAACAGCGACCATAAAGATCAACTTATGACATATTTAAAATCAATAAATGCTTACAGCTGCATATAACATGTGGTTCACCCCCCCATTGTATTGTATGAACGTATTTATTAGCATGAGTGGTTTAGCATGCATGGCTGCGGCTGGGACTGAATATCAAGTAACTCACACGCCCACCGATTTAGGTTAGTGATAATACATTTGTAGTATGATTGTAGGAAGGGTCGATGGTCTTGGTTGCAGTACTACTACCGAGATGCTACGTCCTTTCTAGTATGATCATATTTATTAGCGTGAGAGGTTATGTGTGAATGGACGTGGCTGTCGAGGAATATCGAGTACTCCACAGGCCCGTCAAAAAACCTTAGGATTAGTTTTATGGACGAATGGAATTTGTACATATGTATTATGCAGGGTCCCTAAAGGTCGGGGACTTGGTTGGTTCACGTGTCCTGCATAAACCTCTTGGACTTGTTCACAAACCCCAAGATTTTGGACCATTTTATCTCAGGGAGTGATTTGGTGATGTCCTCTCCTTCAAAGATTTCAAATCTAGACCTAGCATACCTATCACACTCTGCAAGGTAGTGCCTTGACGTTTCTTTTTTTTATTTCGCAAAAACAGGAAAAGGGATCTGGTAGACTATCCATTAAGGAGAGGTATCTTCAAGGTGGGCAGTGGCTCGTCAGAATACCTATCAGCCTTCTAATTCCCTTCCTTGAGATAGAGAATAGCCATTTAGATTCCGCTGGTTTGATCACCTTAACAAACTCTTTCGATTGCCTGTGTCCGGGGGATAAATTCCACTCCCTAAGGAATTGTTTCATGCCCCAGTTATTGATACTCTCCCAGGAATTTGTAGTACATACTGTTTGAATGTATTTATTCACGAGAATGGAAGGAGGAGGAAGATTAGAACCATCTTACCGATCTCCACTTTAGTTGTAATATTAGGAAACTAGGTTTATTAGTGTAAATGTGTATTATGAGTGTGTGTGTGTATGTAAATGGTCAAATACCTCAATTTACCACATATGGAACACAAAGAGAAATGCAACAAAAACCGTAAGGTCCGATGAGTAGCCAATTAGAATGAAGTTATCAGTAGACTCTTCTTTTTCCATTGTCGGCTCCTTCCACCTCAAAGAAGCCGACTGCTCATATAAAAATGTTTTTCTATCCCTACTTCCTTCCCCACTCCTTTAAAATCCAACGTATATAAAAACTCTAAATTCACTAATTTCGTGGTCCGCTTGACCAATTAATATATCACAATTAATTAAGGTTTTTAGTCGAGATAAAAAAGTCGGGGGTTGAAAAATGGCAAAAAGGAGGGAAAATTCAAAAGATGGGAAGTTAGTGTCAGAGTGGATCGAGGTCACGATAAATCAAGTGGTAGAGCTGCGGCAAAAATTTATATATTTTCACTGCAAATGGTTGAGAAATTGTACCGAATCCCCCACCTTTTTTTAATTCTCCCTCCTTTTGTCATTTTTCAAATAGAAGGAACGATAGCTCAAGTGGTAGAGCAGCAGCGTATCTAGCCGAAGTTCGTGGGTTCGAATCCCGTACGTGACACTGTCTTTTTTATCCCAACTAAAAACCTTAATTAATTTATAATGTTTTTCCGATGCCACAACACATTATTATTAATAAACCATTACTGATCATAAAAGCTTGGATGTAAATTAGATCTCAATCATATTAACTGCTCAAAATTATTATAAAATTTTAACGAACCTTCATGTAAATGTATAATGTCAGTTTTATGAAAGAATTAATAGTTCTGGATTTTTAATTTACGTAATAAAACAACTAGGTATTAAAACATTCAATAATTGTTTTATTGAATAAACATAAAACAGTTTTTCCAATAAAATATATTGTAATTTTCTAATTCACGACATCAAATAGATTACATGTGAGGTTGAGATGGGAAGTTAGTGTCTGAGTGGATCGAGGTCACGCTAGCTCAAGTGGGAGAGGAGCCGCGTATCAAGCAGAAGATCGTGGGTTCGAATCCCGCTCGTGCCATTGACTTTTTTATCTCAACTAAAAACCTTAATTAATTGTAGTATAAAAAAACATAAAACATCAATATCTCACTGGTACTCTCAACACGGCACACAATAATGACACATCTACACAGGAAACAAACACTTTGAGTGAGTACAAATATTTTGATTGATTCTAAAATTTCTAACGCTGTATAAATTCATTTTTCACATCCTGCGTGTATTTGTATAATTTAAACAACGTTTATAAATCCCAGGCCCTGAAGATCGCAATAAGATTGAAATGTTGGCAAGATAAAGAAAATGTTTTTCTAAATCTATGTCATACCAGACCACATCTTCTGCTCTCCAAATAATCAGTACTAACAATGTATAGTAATAAATAAATTATAAATCAATCATTTGATTGTAAATCTGCCCCTTGCGCAAGACCAACACTTCTGCAACGCTCGCACGTCGTGCAGGTTTAGTATACCGGTGTCAGATTTAAGGCGTTATTCACTATAAACTGTTTAAAATTCTTTGGAAAATTATTTATTTTATATTTTTCACTCTTCTTTTTCGATTTTTATATTTATTGGGTTTATTCAGTAACTAAACAACCATTAAACTTCTAATTATACTTCACTGTTTCCAATTAAATAACTTATCCAATTAAATAATCCTTATTATTTTTACAACTAATTTTTAATGTAATGCCTATTTTTAATCTTTATTAACCCGTCTAAATCAACAGTTAGACACAATACATTTGGATTTATTCAAGCCATTTGATAAAGTTGATCATTGTCTCCTTATCCGAAAATTAATCATCCTTGGAATGCATGGTTCTCTTCTCAAATGGTTTAGCTCCGATTTGAAAGTTAGAAATTTGTGAAACTGAATTTAGTAACTTGTAAAAAAAATAGTCCCATCTGGTGTACCTCAGGGGTCGTTACTCGGCCCATTTCTTTTCAAAGGTAGTTTTGAGAGCATAAATCATCACATCCCACACATCAAACATTTCTACATAGTCTAATTCTTCAACAATTTGGCTTTCCTTTCCCTAATTGTCTGCATCGAAATAATCCTGAAAGGATAATCAGGCCGAACCATTACCCATCCTTTCACCTGAAAGAAGCCCCCTCATATAAAAAATATCTTTCTATCCCGACTTCCTTCCCAACCCCTTCAAAATCCAATGTATATAAACATAAAACAGGAGAAACAGCAAACAAACAACATGGAAAACAAACACTTTGAGTGAGTACAAATACTTTGATTGAATATAAAATTTTCTAGCTATAATTTTTTTTGTGTGTGTTTGTTTTTACTATTGTTACAGTATTTCCTTAATATTTGGCCCTAAATTGCTATTATTTTTTTTAAATCATATTTTTTGCTTATTACCAATAATTTACAATTATATTTTATTCTACATCTATACATTACATTCAGAAAATATATCAGCACAATTCAAAATATTAGGTACTTTATTATTAAAAATTCCTTAGTGGATTGATTGGAAGAAGTTGGTCCATGTTGTTTGTGAGTGTCGGCTATAACGTCTGCATTTACGATGTTGTGTCTGAGCAAGTGGAAGAGGCTAAAAAGTTCATAAAAAATGAGCTCGAAAACATGGAAAAAAATAAAATCCTCAAAGGAAAATTGTCAGCTGAGGAACAGTACAATTTGATATCAGGTAATTAATATCCATTTATTTCTTTATTATACAAAAAAGAAAAAAGTAAATTGAGAATAATTTAGGTAATTTGAGCCTGTCGGAATGTCTTCAGGGAGCGATTTACATGCAAGAATGCATTCCGGAAAATCTCGAGTTGAAGATAAAACTCTATGAAGAAATTGATAAAGTTGTCGGCGACAAGACGATCATAGCAAGCTCGACATCGACATTCGTACCTTCACTTTTTTCGGAAAATTTAAAAAACCGTAAAAACATCGTCGTCGCCCATCCTGTGAGGAAAAAACACTTATGTTTAACGGTTTGAATAATAAAATTTTCTTAAGGTCAATCCTCCTTATTTCGTCCCTCTCGTGGAAATCGTTCCTGCTCCATGGACTGAGCCGAGCGTTACGAAAAAAACCAAAGAGATTATGACCGAAATCGGCCAAGCACCTGTAACACTAAACAGAGAAATTCCTGGATTTGCACTCAACAGAATTCAGTAAGTGTACTTTTGCGAATAAAATCAGGTGTAAAATTTTCAATCTTCAGGTATGTTATTCTCAATGAATGCTGGAACCTGATCAAAGAAGGCATCCTTAATGTTGAAGATGTCGACAAAGTAATGTCTGAAGGGCTTGGAATGAGATATGCTTTCCTCGGCCCTCTCGAAACCGCGCACCTCAATGCTGAAGGTAAGCATTCATCTACAACTCTTCAACCAATCCTTACCGACTGAATATTTCAGGTATGGAAAACTATTGTGCAAGATACTGCAATTCGATGTACAAGGTTTGCCAGACGATGTTGCCTGTGCCAAAATTCGAAGGAGAACAAGTAAAACAAATGGCCAAAGAACTGTGCGAAAAAGTTCCTTTGGATAAGCTCAAAGAAAGAAGGGAGTGGAGGGATAATTGTCTAACTCAACTCTCATCTTTAAAAAATAAACTTCCAAAATAGAATAATATGGAAAATTTTAAAATTAATAAAATTCCAATAATGAAAATGATTTTTGTTTTGTTCTGAATCATGGTAGAAGGTTGTTCAAATGAGTATTGGTAAAGAGTAGAGCCTCAACAACTTAGACGACCAGGTTCACCGACACTGAAATCTTTTCTTTACCATGTCTAGATACAAACTTTTTACCATGCTTTTGACATACAAGACTTTCTCAGATGATCAAGTTCGCTGATGCTACTGTATTTTTTATTGCTCGTTGTTTCATCAGTGGGTCATAACATGATAATAAAATTGGAAAAGTGGGCTGTCCAGGCTTTAGCACCAAGTAAGCGGCTGGGTGTCGACCATATAAGGCCTTTTCTAATGGTAGGAAGATCCTTCTTCTGTTCATTTAAGACTCTGGGGTCATCTTTCAACCGTGCTCTTCCAAGTTTCTCAGATGAACAGGTCTACTGACACTGACGACCATTTCTGTACCATATTCTTTTTTGCTTGTTATCACCAGTAGGTTGGATCGTGATAGTAAAACCTGAAGAGGGCCATTTGGGCTTTAGCCTCAAAAGTGACTGTGTGTCTACCAAACATGGCCGACTCTAATTCAAGTTTGGAAGATCCTTCTTCTGAGCAGTTAAGACTCTGGGGGTCTTCTTTCAACCATGTTCTTGCAATGTTTCTCAGATGAACAGATCCACTGACGCCGATGACTGAAAATTTCATTTTTGGTAATTTTTCGAAGTTAGGAGGTGAAGGGGTACACAAAATTCACCATTTCTGGCATTTTTATCGAAAATTCACAACTTGTAATATAATAAGTAATAATAATGCTTTATTAAACATAAAAAAAGGAAAAAAGACAATTTAGATTTTAAAGCATTTAAGGCCATGGATCTTGGATCCGTCTGCCAGAGGTCTTTGATTAAACAGTCAAAAACGAAAAAATACACAATAAAATAAAAGTTATAGCCTACACAATAAAAAGAAAAAAAAGGAGAAACAACAACTGCCAAAATGCGAAAGAGAACAAAAATAACAGGTTATACAAAAGAAATCAAAAATTAAACTCATTAATTAATTCATATCTGTAATTCCATGCATGCCTAGCGTATCGAATTAAGGGCCGCGAATTTGAGCCACTCAAAAACCGTAACAGGTCAACCCTGGGGAGAGTGAAACATCCGAGATGCAACAACCGAATCTCACCCAGGATTGAGCACTCCGCCAAGAAGTGGGATACAGTTTTAATAGAGCGCGAATTACACAAAGAACAGATTCCTAATTCCCCTCTGATCCAAACAGCCGAGTTTAAGTGCAAAACCTCACTTCTTAGCTTAAATAGCCATCGCAACTCATTGAGACAAAGACCGTCAAAATTATCTTCATGTAGGTCGAAAAATGCAGAAGAAATTTGTCCTCCTTGTAAAGTGTGAGATGCGTAGATGCTCAGACACGAAACCAGCATTCTTCGTGATGTTGTTTATTAATTTGATTAATAAGAATTGAAAAATGATTATGCCAGTCACAGAGGTTGTCTAAGGATATGAGGAAGGGCAAGTTGTACTTTATAAACAAATATTTCCAGTGAGCGAACCATGAAATATTAGTCTTTATGACCGCCAACGATGTTATTTTTGTGTATCTGGTATTGGGAGAATCAGAACTTTCACAATATAGGAGTAGTGAAGCTTAAGTGTATACACCAAAATTAAATCCAAATTGGTTTCTAAATATAATATATAGTTTGGTGTACCAGGTGGCAATGTGAACAACTTTCTTACAAAAAAACGTTGCACTTTTTCTATTGCTTCAAACCTCTGGTATCCCCACATTTGACAGCCATAGCAGATTTGCACGACTTATCGCCTTAAAAATATTATACTAGACTTTAATAGGGATAGTTTCTTTGAATAGGAAGGCTGACCATGTGTTATTTAGACCTAATTTAGCCACTGATGCTTTCCAAGAGAAGTGCTTGTTCCAAGAGAGTCTCGGGGTAAATATGACTCCTAAATATTTATATTCATTTACAATCTCGATGAGATTGCCCCTAAAAAAAAAGCGATCCAGAGAACTCAACCTACCCCCTCTCCTAAACACCATGATTTTCAACTTCTCTAAATTAACTATGAGGTTCCACTGTTCACAGTAATATTCAAATAGTTTGATATTTCTTTTTAAGCCAGTTGCACTATCCGATAGGATAACTATATCGTCCGCATTCATTTTAATTGACGTATTACCTACACGGATTCCACATTCCAGGACATTTGGGAGGTCATGTAAAAAGAGAGCGAATAAGATTGGGCTCAACTGGCAACCCTGACGCACTCCACAATGCACTTTAAAAGACTCTGAAATACCCTCCTTACCACGCACATTCGCAGAAGTCTCAGAGAATAAGGTTTTTAAAGTGTTGACCATCTTTGAGGAAAATCCTAAGTCAATGAGTTTTAAAAACAATCCCCGACGATCTACACCATCAAAAGCAGCTCTCAAATCCACAAAGAAGCAATACGTCTTCTGCTTTGGTTTCAAGCTTAAATTGACTACATTGGCCAATAGACAAACAGATTGTCACTAGTCGAGAACCCTTTTCTAAACCCCATTTGACTTTCACCTAGAAGACCGTTGGCATCAACATAAACTTCTAACCTTCTGAGCAGTAAGCAAGAAAAAATCTTGGCCACACCATTCAGACATGAGATGCCTCTGAAAATTCACAACTTGAACACCCTATCAAAAAATTCTTCGTTACAAACCTCGTTTGTTGGTGATCGAATTCTCCGTCACATTAGACCGACCCCAGTCCGATTCATGAAACATTCGAATTTTGGCTAATTTACTGCTTTTCACCCAAATTGAATGTTACTGTTTTCTGATGGGTACCCCCTACTGAATGAAAAAATGTACGACAAATCTAACAGAGAATTTTTTGATAGGGTGTTGAAGTTGTGAATTTTCGATAAAAATGCCAGAAATGGTGAATTTTGTGTACCCCTTTTCACCTCCTAACTTCGAAAAATTGCCAAAAATGAAATTTTCGGCCGATCGGGCTGGTTTTAATCTCATTCGACGCAGAAATTAATCCTCTACAGATATTGTTTCGAGCTGTTTTAGGTCAGGCTAACGGGTTACTAACAATTTCACGAATAAGGTCAAAAAACGTGGTTTTTCATGGTTTTTTGCCTGTAGCTCGGAACTGAAGGGTTTGCGGACACAGGCTCATAGGACCTTTTTTACTCAGCATTCAATTTCCTATAAGATCTGGAAGTGTGGCTGAATCGATTGGGGCCACCTTGTATATATCTTAACAAAAGGTAAGAAAATAAAAACAAAAACGGATTAGTTATCAATAAATACTATTTATTTATATAGTTTACATTGTGCCGCCAGCATTTCTTTGAAAGAATAAACATCGGACAGTGCAAATAATTTCTCTTTCTTATAATTATATATCTATAATATAATAAACTTCACAATTATTTTTTTAGGATTTGTGCCTTAAACATATATGTTTAATACTGATGTCAAAATGTTTAAAACACAAGGTCAGTTACAACCTTAATCTAACAGAGAACACCAGAATCTGAGGCTATTTTAATTAACCATTTATCATCTCGTCTCTATTATTATTTTTTTAAATTATTTATTATTGGTGTAATATTTTCTATGACTTTTAACAACAATATTATTCTCTTCTATTAGAAAATATAAAACTTTTGTTAACAAATTTGAAAAGAAATATCACCTCAAGGAAGCACAGCAGGTCGGATTAAAAAATAATTTGAAGGCTGTGCAAACTCGACCCTTTACCATTTAGACAAAATAAATTCTTGAAAAACAAATTTAAAAAAAAAACAAACCTTGGCGAATCCGAATTTGTTTAAAATTTTCCAAACAGGCAGCGACTCCCAAAACGAAAAGCCCTACGAATAGAAAGGAAGACATTGAAATTCGAAAAAACCGATTTGGACCGACTAATTTGAACGCCGCGCGTTTGGAGAAAACTTTCAGATTGGCGCCAATCACACCCGCGTCTTGCACAAACTTTTCACCCGCTTCTTGCACAGACTTTTCTACAAAAATAGTTCAAAATATGAATTTGATTAATAATAATGTACGTTAAAACTTTTCCAAAAAATATAACAAACATTCATTAATAAATAGAATCTGAACTATAGTAAACAATATTAATCCTATTATTGTTTCATAGTTGGATATATAATTTTTATTAAACAAATATATTGATCTTTTGAAGAAAGTTAATTTAAAAAACACTTAATATTATGAAAAAGGGCTTCGTGCCTCTTTTTAAACAGCAGTAGCACTAAAGTCTTTAAGTATTTTTTTTCCAAAAAATCCCTTCGAATTAGGCAAATGCAAAAGAATAACTATCACACTTTATATCAATAATAATATAAAGTTAAACCTTTCATGAAAAATATACAAGGATAACATGGTTAAAGCTTCTACTAAGATTGATATATCATAATATTAGTTGTTCATTGTTATGTACAAATATTTAATTTTACTGAAAAGAAAATCTAAATATTTTATTCCTAAACCAGTTTCATAACAACAGTGAAAATAAAAGTTAACACACACAAAGAAAAAGTAAAAAACAATTCTATTTACATTAGAATAATCTCAATCAAATTGGTCATGTCTTATCAGGAATTGCAAACAAACAAGCCCAAAACGTACCAAATAAAATCGTAATAACTGTTGCGTCGAAACTGATCTTTAGCTTATGATAGATTAGATTTAAACATGAATTCTAACATCATTACTATATAAATTTTCCTGCTTCGGTACGAAATCAAACCTTTATCTAAAATCTAGAACATCCGGGCTTGAAATATCTGCAGCCGGCAAAAGCTGACAACTTGAAAATATGCTTAGTTAGGTTTTATGTCGTCTTCGTTCGCAGATTATCATGGGGAGGCCAGCACCCTGGAGAAAAACAATTAATGTGCAAATTAGACAAACTAGATTATATACATCAAGATGAAAATAGATAAAAAAACATGTTTAAACTAAAAATTAATTTATAAAAATACAATTTTATTATATCAACAAAAATAGAATAAAAGTTCTATATCTATAAGCTACAGATACCCTAGAGGAATTTCTATTTTAGGGTGTCCTGCCTCAATTTTATTAAAGAACAAACTTAAAACAAGACTTGGGAATAGACAAATTTTAGTTAAATTGAATATGGAGTTGTGCCTGATTGTATTCGATGAGACTTTAGTGGCTGTTTAATTTATTTGAATTTTTTTTATTAAAACACCTTTTTTAAGCCTCCTGGTGTTTATAAAGCCCATTTAGGGCCTTCATACAAGAATCTTTTTAGCACTAGAGAGGTTTTGAGGACATACTGCATTGGGTTTCCCAATTTAGAATTTAAAATTTTACAATCTATTCTATTTCCCCTCTGTTAAAAAAGTTTCTTCAAATTCTACAAGGTAATGTAGTGGTAAAATATTGTATTTAAAAAAAAAAAAATGGAAGTGTGTGTTCCATTCTCTCCTTGTAGACTGCTAAAAAAATTTGTGTGTGCTTTGCCTATTCGATCTTTCACATGGCATATGCACCTCCCGACGTGACCATATGTGATTGAACCAAGAATTCATTGGGTTGCCCGGAAAATAATGCAGGTTTATGTTTATAAAAATAAAAACAATTAAATAAATGATTTGAAACATTTTGCATTGATTAAAATACACTCCATCACTCCCAATACACTTCCCTCAACGCAACTTCTACATACCCTCTGAATAGAATGTCGAGTCTTCGTTATTAACAAATTCTATAAACGAATTTCTAACAACTTTTGATCAATAAATATTTTATGAATTTAAAAATGGTAGTAACAATTCTATCCAGAAAAGATTCGCTTCTGTTTTGTCAAAGAAATTTTGCTAAAACTTCATAATTTTTTTGGTGGTTGTTTAATGCACGAGGAACCCAAATTTCGAGCTTTTACACCTCTCCAATTGCCTTAAGATCAGCGATGGTTGATTTGCTAACTGAAAGATTCTCAGCAAGTACTCAACAATTGTTTTTTGACCAAATCATCACGACCTTCTTTATCTTCAAGTCTTTTTCTCGAAATTTTTTGAAAATATCTCTGAACGGTGCTCTCACCCACACTGCCATCGCCCCGGACTTCATTAATGTTTCTGGCCAAGTTTAAACTCATGCAACAAAATTACACAAAAATCGCACATTTACATCTTAGTAAGACTGAATTATTCCCAAGTAATGTTATATTGAGGGGTAATTAAAAGAAAACATTAAAACCTGCGTTATTTACAACAGCCCAACAGAAAACCATTTTCACATGTCCCCCCCCCAAAAAAAAAAAAAAAAAAATTGCCTCAGCCCAAACTATATTTTTCCGGAGCTGATCAATATGGGCATGCCATTTTAATATTTCGTCGATAATTAGTCCCAAAACTTATTTGTTCGATGTTAAAGCAGTTGGTGCAAATTTGAATCACCTCTGAAACAATTAAATATAATAATCATACGGGGATTAGGGCAGATTGGGCTGAAACAAATTTTGATTTCGGAATTATGTGCAAACCATCACATGTCTGCTTGCATTTGAATCTCTATGTCTGCCCAACTATTACCAGGAGGTTGTTTATATAAATCAAAAATAAAACTGGTCTTAGCACAGAGCCCTGAGGAACACCATGGTTGAAATCACTCAACGCATCTGCGATTTGGGCACATGCGAACAATCAGGTAAATATGATTTGAACCAATCTTGCATATTACTTCGAATTCCCAGGGTATTCTTCACAACTTAGAATAATTTGTATTTACCTGTGTACGTCTGCCTGGCTTCCTATGTTCGACAACGATTCCTGAATCAAATCAGAACCTAAGGGCATAACAGAATCTCTTAGCAAAATTGGTAATGTCAATTCACCTTTAAAAAAAAAAAAAAAATCAGTTTTAAAGAAAAATGAATTTATTACCAAAACAGATTTAATTTTGGCAAATTATGACCATTAAACATGCAAAAAACCTAATAATTTAACTTTTAATCTTCACTAAATCTATAAAATTCGAATGACCACTTTCTAATCTACTAAGTAGCAACCATAATTTCCTTAACTGCTTCTTTTTTCAAAAATATTTGTTTTACGACTACCACACTGACAGGAAAAAATTAAGCAAATTGGTCTTTGTTAACAAAAATATTTAAGCCAGGGAAAAAAGATCTACAGAGATAAATGAAGAAATAATCTCCATCAGTAGAGAAAAAAACGAAAATAAGTTCAAACTTATAGTTTTAAAATACCATGTTTTTTTCCATGTGAAATCTATTTGCAGGAGAAAAAAAAAAGATAAATTTTCAATAAGTGGCAAATAAAATATTATATAAAAAACAAAATCTGCTCAACAAAACTCGTCAAAATTACATTTGCTGACATGGTTAAAATAAATTTTCCCATTTGCCCCCAGGGTTAGTATAAATTTTCCGTGTTAGTAGATTTCGCTTGATACGGCGTGTGAATGCAAACCTTGTTAGTTAAAATAATGTTAGTCTGTCACCTACTGGGTAACTTTCGGAGGCTCACCAGGATCCGAATCTGAAAGGTCATTGCCTTCATGCAGTGCAATGTCGGAACCGCTCGAGCTCCCAAGCGTCCTCCGGTTCTTCCTTCTAGTCGTGTTATTCCCTTCCTCCACGACACCCTCCTCACTGTCACTGCTTAATGGGCCTCCTTATTTGTACAAAAACGAACGTCGGACATGTTAAAAAATGTTAGTGAAATGTCTAACAGGCCAAAACAAGGATATCAGTTTTGTTATTTGCTCCAAAAACAAAGTGATCAACTTTCCCAAAAGCACAACTTTGCAAATACTATACATTTATTTAATAATTATTAGTGTTCATATGATAGAAAACAATCATGATTTAATTTGATAATAGATACTTTGGTTATAAAGATCATTCATATTTTCTCACATTTAGTATATCCCATAGTTCATTAAAAATATAAAAGTGAGTTGTAATTTTTCATGTAAAGAGAGGATGAGATGAAAAGAGTGCCACAAGCAGGACTCGAACCCACGACCTTTGACTCAATACACCACTGCTCTAACCACTTGAGCTATCGTGACTTTGGTCAGCTAAGAACAATTAAAACTATTAAAAAATATTTTTAAAAACAGCCTTTTTATTTATCTAAACTTTAACTTGAATGAACTGCCCTAATCTTATCTAACCTAAATTGTCCCGAACCCTAACCAATTAAACATTCCTCAAAATCGACCATGGTGGCTGAGTGGTTAGGATGTCTGATGCTAGGTTAAATCCCAGCACTTAGTTTTTATTTGGAATGGTATGAAATAAGTATTGTGAAGTGGTTTGACCCTTCACCTAACAGCTGATGGGGTAGCTGAACTTTAAGCCCTCCAGTACTTGTAAGGAATTACTTACACTCCCCCAAAATCGACATTGGAAAAATGGTCACACAAAAAATCTGTGTATCCAGTCCAAAAACAAATCCACGTTAAAATAATAATTCAATCTAAATTTCCTAGTCATATATTTTTTGTGTGTATAATTTGGTCATTCTGGAAGTTCATATTCTAGGATATTAAAACTAAGTTCTTGAGATGAAGAATTCGATCCTTAGAAATCATTTATTTTTTTATTAATTATACTTTTTATCTAAAGTCTTGGTTGAGATGAAAAAGTTAGTGTCACGAGCGGGATTTGAAACAGCGACCTTTACTTAATTCATAATAATTGAGGTCATGATACAAAACATGTCTTGTGATATGGGATCTAAAGGATTGATTCTTGGAAGATCCTCCGGTCGCTTTGTCTGAAAGATATCCTGAATTGGAGCATCTCAGAAAAAAACGTTCTTATCAGGATATATTGGGCAAAGGATGAGGTGGCGAAAGCTAGGATGTTCTATCCTCCTGATTTGACTATCCCGATCTGATTTGCTGAAATTAAACTGTACGGAATATGGTAAAGAAAAGAGAGCAGCGTTCAGGACAGAGACATCCAAGCACTTTCAGATCAAGAGAATGGAATAGGTCGCCCTCAGTGTGCAAAATACAGAAAAAGATCCAAATCCGGCTCACAAATGGTTGTCATAGCTGACAGACACTTTTGGGATAAAGCTTGCGTGTGTGGCAGGCATGCTGAATCTGTCAAATGTGTCGTAATTAACACATTTAGTGCGGCATTGTATTTCAATTTCTCCCCTCCTAAATGGCAAAAATTTCTTATTCGTAGAAACGTTACGCTTCATGGCCACTGATCGTATTAAAGGGTGTCACTCCTTGAATCCATATAAAGAACATGTAGGAGAGCTACTGAAATGATAATTGTACTCGAGTACGGTGAATCTTTTGATCCCACGATCAAATTTTTGGAGGAAACAGGTATTTTTTATAAAGTAAAGTAATACCCGTTATTCAGTATGGCTTAATCCATAAGATTTCGTGATCCAATTGACTAAATAACAATTAATAAGATAAAAAAAGTCAGTGTCACGAGTGGGCGATCGAAGTCAAGATAAGTCAAGAGGTAGAGCAGCGTATTGAGCTGAAGGTCGTCGGTTCAAATCCCGCTCGGAACACTGACTTTTTTTATCTCAACCTATACTTTACATAAAGATTAATTAATTGAAAAATGTAGGGCTTAATGTTCAACTACATAGAAACCACTGTACAATACTTCTTTCAAACCATTTTCAATTCAAAAGTAATGCTGCATTGTGATTCGAACCCAAGACCTCTAGTGTGGCAAATTCGAGTTGGACACCCTAACCACTCAGCCAAACTAACAGAGAAAAAAAAATCTGAGTTATTTAGTGTGGGAAGGTTGTCACATACACAGTTCATCCAGCAGTCCAGGACACTAAATTTTGGGCCAAGGTAACCAGATAGGCATTGCATACTCTTCGCCTCATGACCATCAACATGGATCAAGAGGTTGCACAACAGAAATGCAATTATTGTGAGTTATTGAGTACTCCATGGAAAAAGTATTGGAGCCTGAAATACATATTAAAAAACGAATACAAAAAAGGAAGAATACTAGGCACTTGCGTTATGCCAACCTTAACGTATGGTGCTCAAACCTGGCCTCTAACAAAACATACTATGGATAAGATGTCTGTCACTCAAAGAAAATGGAGCGAAGCATGTTAAATATAAAAAGGAAGGACCGATGGAGAAACGATAATATCAGAAAGAAAATAAATGCAAAAGATGTAACTGCGAAAATTAGACTAATGAAGTGGAATCGGGTAGGTCACGTGATTCGTTCTCCAGATGGGTCCAAAAAGGCAACCAATTGGACACCACACTTATCCACTAGGAGAAGAGGAAGACCTCAGAAACGATGGGAAGACAATTTTTAGGAGTTTGCTGGAGGTTCGTGGTGAATACTCACAAGAGATAAGACAGCTTGGAGGGAAAAGGCTCTAAATAGGGCTGGTTTATAAATGACTGTGGCATGAAAGAAGAAGAAGAGGTAGAAGAGAAAGAAAGAGAAGGAAAAAAGAAGAAGAAAAAACTAAAAGAAAATCAATAATTTTTTTCTCTGTTTCAATTATGTACATATTATAAACCAATAAAAAAGGCTTATTTATTTTATTGAGTACTCCGATTGGGAAACTGATATAAAAGGGGATGATTTGCAAAGCAAAGTCGGTCAACTCGAGGAAAAACTCAACTCGATGACTCATCACAGTTAAGTAAAGGACTCAGTAGGGTAGTAAGCGACAATCCTGGAAGATGCTGGATGATATAGAAGCTGGTATTGGCGAGCATCATTTGGAATAAGTCATATTACGATTGAGGAAAAGTTCATTCCAGAATTAGTAGTTGACTTGCTGTAATTGTTTGTTATATTAAGTCGGACAAGCGTTACAATATTTATGGACATATCTCTCTCACTGTATTTTTGGAACCTTACATAAAATTAGTTATGTGCATACACATTGCTTAGTGATAAGTGCAAAGTGTCATCACTGATAGCAAATTAAAACCCTACATTTTTTAATCTTTGTCACATTAAAATAAACCCAAACGATATGTTGTGAGAATTTACTCTTGGACTGATTTGCCGAGGAAACTTGTCATTTTGTTTTTGGAGGGGAAACACTCAACGCTTAAAACTAAAAAGTTAAAGGTAGTGGTTGAAAAAAATGACGGTTCGTTAAACATTTAGTCGTACTGAGATACTTTCGTGAAATGAATAATCTACACAGGGGGGCACTTTCTTCGATTATAAAACATCAAAACATGCAGTAGTTCGCAAAATTGTTTAATTAAGCGAGAAAAAATATAATTTTATAGCTTTGGTTTAATTTGTAAGACATTTCGCAAATGGGAAAAAAAAATTGTAAGTTTGAAAATTTGTGTAATCCATGTCAAGGCAAAGATAAATGAAGAAATGTAGCAGAATGAAGATCACCGTTTCTTAGGTATACATTTTTTTTCAAGATAATATAAACCTGAAGCTGAAAGAAAAAATTGTATAAAGTAGAAGTTTGGTTTTCCTAAATTTAGAAAAAATATATAGACAATAAAAAAAATCAAATTCATCCCAATTTTTTCAACAATGACCTAAAATATCTCTACTTTATCAACAGGCAAATATCCTCAATTTTAACAATGTTGAAAATGCATATAATTTTTCATATTAATAATTTATGGTATTGTTTATAATAAAAAATGTTATAAAAAGAGAAAGATCTAGCATTAAAATCAGCTAATAATAAAAAAATTAAAAATAAAGATAACCATTGTTTAATAATTTACAAGTTTTTGATTAAAAAAGTAAAATGAAAGAGAAGTAATAATAAAATAGCTTTGAAATAAAACACTAAATAAGCAACACTGATGCTAGGATATTCTATTTAAAAAAAGGGGTCATCAGGCATCATATTACAGGAGAGGGGGGTTGCGTTTTTATGAAACTGAAGAATCAGATGCAAGCGAAAATCATTGAGCGTTCGAATAATTACCGTCATGGACACCATCAAGTGAAGGTGACTGCCACATACTATTGTCGGGCTTCCAATCTCCATTTTCAACTACATCATCTACAGACTTTTGGTCAACGGAGTCGACCCATCCTGTTCAAAGGCACACGTTCTTTCATTTTTGTTCATTTTTTTTGTAAACATTGGGGCAACTAATACATTTTTCTATGAATGCTTTTTTTTTCTTTCTTCGGTTTATGTTTTCGTTTTAGGTGTCTACTGGTTAATTGAGGTGACATTTGCTTTTCTTTATGGTGATTTGGAGAAACGAGTAGGCAGATTATTCTTCATTTTTACAAAACTGAAGTTCCATTCTTGTCCCTAATGCAGCAATATTAGCTTTTATATTGAATACAAATAAAAATTAAAGCACATGCTTAAACGGCTGACATATAACAAATAACATTGTCATAAGCTGTTGAAAGCTAGCTTATGTTCTATGAAAGTTTGAAGTTTTTACAATCTTCAGTTAAGCATTTTTACAGCCAGTAGACACCCTGATTTTTTTTTTTTTTTTTTTAAAGAATTTAAACGAATTCACTTGCAAGCTAGCAAAGCTCAGCAAGCTCAAACGCTAAAAAAAATCTAAATTGCATTTTTTCTTTCCAATAAAACATAAAATCTATAGAATAATTACCATTTTTTCTTTTGTTTTATTTTCCTCGTCGAGAAAGAACTGAATAATTATTTGTTCAGATTGATTAAAAATCTACTTACCGTCGTGTATACCGTCAAGAGAAGGGGACTGCCACATGTTTTCTTCCTTCCACTCTCTTCTAATGACTTCAGTTTCTTTCGGTTTTGAAGCCCATCCTGAAATACGGCGAATTGAGACAATCGGCCAAAACTTGAGTGGTAATGGTACATACCGTTGGATGCGTTGTCCAACATGCTAGCCATTTGGACCTCGTTGGCGATAAAATTGGCCGTTATCTGTTTCTCCTCTCCGGCGTATTTGTCAAAAGGCTCTGAATTGATGTTTCCTAATGTGCTCGAATTGCTCATCTCCTCCAAATATCCAGATTCCTTAAAAAAATAACTAAAGTTGAAACAAGAATGCCTTGAAACAAACAACCAATCTAGTTAGAATTGTAAATAATATATTTAGCATCAAAAAAAAAAAAAAAAAAAACATTTGAGGAGGTTTGGACTGCTAATAGTTATCTGCGATTATTGATCAGTCATTTACCAGGTCTATATTATGTCTCATTGGTTTACATTTCATTCAAACATATTTCAATTTCACATCATCTTCAGTGAGGAACTGAACCGTATGAGAGTAGACAGAACCAGCAAGTTATTCATCTGCGATTATTGATTGGTCATTTACCAGGTCTGTACTATGTCTCATTGGTTTACATTTCATTCAAACATATTTCAATTTCATATCATCTTCAGTGAGGAACTGAACCGTATGAGAGTAGACAGACCCAGCAAAAGTAATCGAGCATTGATCATTCCATTAATTTCCAATGATTTTTAAATAATAGTAATTATTCAATCCTTTTAAAAAAAAAAAAGATAGTTCCTACACACAGTAAGTTGTTCCAACGTTCCGGATTTTGAGCCCTTAGTTCAACATGAATTGCAAAAGTGAACCCGCTGATACCCCACCAACGTTCCAATGAGAAGCTGGTTTTTTTAATGGCTCAATTTGAACGTGCGAAAAGCAGTAATTATAACACAAGTAAATATTATAATGGTAAATATTGATATAATAAATATATTATAAATTAGTGATTAAAGATAAAAGATTAAAAAATTAGAATAATACCTTAATATTATTAAATTATTATAAAAATAATAACAATTAAAATAATTATTTTAATTATTTGGACGTTTAATATTATTTATATACATATTTAAAATGGGAGGTAGATCAAAATCTATTATTTTTTTAGAGATTAATGCATTTATCTCCTGTTCAATTTTACATTTTTTAATTTTAAATTTCTCAAACCATTCTCTCGATAAGTTTTTGCTTTATGAGTTTAGTACATTCTTCAACAGGGATATTTGTGAATAAATTAGTAACCCAAAACCCCCAATTTTATACGGTACAGACAAAATTCACAAGGAAAACAAACCTATAAGACCTTTTATAATTCCCCGTGCCATAAACTTGCAAGTACAATTAACAAAATAATTAAAAATCACACCAATTTCAAACCTTTGGTATTAACAATTCTTTAGAATTGATAAAAGAATTAAATAACATCAATATATCCAACAACTGTTTTAGTGTCATTTGGCATTACTAATTTATTCAAAACTATCCCCATTGAAGAATGTACTAAACTCATAAAGCAAAAACTTACCGAGAATTCTATTAACGAATTTGTAAAAAAATGATATAATAGATCTCTTAAATATATGCCTACTATCTAATTATTGTAAATTCAATAATAATTTTACGAAATGAAAGGGTTACCAATGGGGTCTCCATTATCCCCACTTTGTGCTGAAATATTCTTGGATAATTTTGAAAAAAAATCTTTTCAAATCAAAGAACAAATTAATTAAATTAAACAAGAAGGTTTTAGAATAGCTTTTAGACGTACAGGTTCACTTAAAAATATCCTCTCAAAAATTAAAGACAAGACAACTTGACAATAAGCGGGGTTTACCAACTTAATTGTAATGATTGTGATATTAAATATAAAGGACAAAGCGGTAGAGAAATAAAAACGAGAGTAAAAGAACACTTGCCTAAATCGAACAAATTTTCAGAATTTAAAGACCGTCTAAAAGAAACAAAACATAATTTCAATTCAAATTTAAATACAAAAGTGTTACATAGTTTCAACAAAGGGAGAGAACTGGATTGGTTTGAGAAATTTGAAATTAAAAAATGCAAAATTGAACATGGAGATAAATGCATTAATAATATAATAGATTTTGATCTACCTCCAATTTTAAATATGTACATAAATAATATTAAACATCCAAATAATTATCTTAATTATTTTAATAGTTATTATTTGTATAATAATTTAACAATATTAAGGTATTATTCTAATTTTTTATCTTTTATCTTTAATCACTAATTTATAATTAATTTCTTACAGTATTTACCATTATAATATTTACTTGTTGTGTTATAATTCCAGCTTTTCGCACGTTCAAATTCAGTGCCAGGGGGGCCGCGGTAGCCGAGTGGTTAGTGTGACAGACTCTCCTCGTTTTTAGACCCCACGGTTGTGGGTTCAATTCCCGCTGTTGCCTCTGGCCTTTTTTTCACGATACCCTTCCCCCCCAAAACGAATACGCATAATAACATTGTCATTGGCTAATATGCAAAGAACATAAAGCCATTAAAATAAAATTAAAAAAAAAAATTCAGTGCCATTAAAAAACCAGCTTCTCATTGGAACGTCGCATTGTCGGGGGGGGGGGGGTATCGGCGGGTTCACTTTTGCAATTCATGTCAAGAGACGTGGTTGTAGAAAACCTTCAACCTGATGATGAGCTAAGGGCTCGAAATCCGGATCGTTCGAAAACAACTTACTGTGAGTAGGAACTATCTTTTTTAAAAAAGGATTGAACACTGCACTCACTCCATCATCATTCATCATTTCTTTCGTCTCAAATCAATGAACACATGCCGACCTGATTGATCACTTTACTACATCCACCTTTTCTAATTGGTTTATTTTTCACTTTAACATGTTTCAATTCCACGCCATCTTCAATAAGGAACGGAACTGTACAAGAGTAGATGGATCTAGTAAAATGATTTGTAGTATGGTTGTTTGCAATCATCCTGGCCTATCCTTGCTGTTTTGGTTCATCAGGCGGCATTTTGCCATCATCAGTAGACCCAGTAGACCTAATATGACAGCCCATTATGCCCAAAAGCCTCTTATGCATTCAAGACAGAGGTGACTGTTTTTTTTTTTTTTTACATTCATCTCGAATGTGTAAAAGAGAAATGAAATTTAATGGAAAAACTGTAAAATACACACAAAATAAAATCCTAGTCTGCCTATACTCGCTATGATTGTAACGACAAAATTACAGGTCTATTCTGCATACCAAGAATTCAGAAATTCAAGTTACACCGTTGAAAAAATTTAATTTTAAGAGATAATTAAGATAAATTATTACCTGATTTTGATGGAAGCTATCGAGCAACAAGCTGTCCTTGCCAGTTGTGTCAAATCCAGATTGATCCAGCGTCACGTTCGCTACAGCCTTCTCAATATCGTCCGTAACTACTTCCATGTCCCGTACGCATTTTTCAATAACATCTTCACGTCCGATATCTCGCAGGGCTTTTTCCAGCTTATTACCTGTAGGTTTTGCGATTATATTTTTTAAATCTATTTTATAAAATGTTGCGAATACCTGTTGCTTGCGGTCCTAAGTTGGTCCTCCACAGTTTGATGGCTAAACTCGTCCTTTCAGGCGAAGTGTGAACTTCTTGTTTTATTATGTCGATATCTTGATCGCTTATTCCTAATTTGAGGGCTAGAGGTTCCCAATCGTGTCCGAGAACCTGGCATAGGTCTGATAAGACCATGTTGCCTCTTACCATCGTTTCTGAAAAATTCAAACGCTGATTTTTTTTCTCCTTGTATATACACGACAGCCACATTGTTTTGGGATCGCGTGGCTTTTGAACTTCAATAGAGTAAAAAAATAGTGACACAAGAAATTCAGGCAACTCACTCATCAAGAAAACAACCGAAGAAACAGTTTTTCAAATAAATTATTCATCCTCCTTAACAAAACACAGTTACTATACAACAAACTGGCTTCTCTAAAATATCATACAGTAAACACATCGAACAAAGCATAGGACAAATTTTACAGCTAGTACCAAATATTTACATTATTTGCATTACCATGATTTTAATATCGATATGCTACTTTTCCATGCCGCATGCGCAATAACACAATTTTTTTTAAAAATATTATTTAGCATAGCAAACTATAACTTATTGCCTAAGATTTTCCTATTCACTCACCATTTCTTTAAAAAAACGAAAAAAAAGGCAATATTACACTCAAAAAATTATTTAACATACAATCGTTTTCTATCTTTCATATTATACAGGGTGTCCCAGAGAAAGTGCGAAAAATTTTTTTTAGGTAATAGTATTTGCAACAACTTTCAACGTATAATCCCTATAACAAATGTGAGTCCCTGACAAATTACAATTTTTTGTTAGTTTTTCCATTTCCACTGAGATTCGGATCATAATTAATTAGGACTTTTTGGTTCCATTTTGAATGTAGAATCTACTGGCAAAGTTACACTCAAGGTCTTGGAAGATAGTGCCATCGTCAAACCCCCCCCAGTCCATCATCTAGGGTGATAACGCCGTTTCGGCTAAAACCATTCTAATAACATTAATGGTGCGTGCTTTCCTAGAAGCTTGTAAAAGTACTGCTGCTACAATGAAAAAACTTCATATGAATTTTTACTATTTTAGTTTTAATTGTAGAGCAAACTATTAAACTGTTTAATCCAATAAAGCTTGTAAAATATTAATGATTGTTTACAGTAAAAAAGTATAACTATAAAAAAATGAGGCTAAAGAAAAATACACTTAAGTAATGAATAGACCAGCAAATTTTTCAAACAGTAAAGCACAACATAGCAACTAACATCAACATAGCAAAGCAAATACTGATATGTGATTACCAGGTGTAGCATTTCTCGGAAGAGAATACGACCTATCGCTAAGATAGAGATCACTTCCGTACGGTGTTCCGTCTTTTTCAATATTTTCTGGAAGGGCGATGTTTAAGGTGCAAACTGCGGACTGCAACGGTTCTCCTCGTGCGAGCTAAGAATAAAACAGTCGTATTAACGAACGATACTATTTAGTTTAATTATTCGATAAAACCTTGGGTTGAGACATAAATAGAAGTCTGGCGACTGGTTTGTCGTCGACATCTCTCAAACGGACAGTGAACGGAAGCCGGTTTTCTCTGAAAGCAGCGAAATTCACGCTCAACTGCTCACCAGATTTTGTCACAGGGATCAAGTTCCCGGCAAACTCGAGATAAATGTTTTTCCCTTCGAGAACCTGAAAATTATCACTATTTAATACACCTGCGTCTAAATACTTAACAAAAATTAAAACAAGGATGTCCAGCGAGGGTGTTTTTAAACTATAACAGATAATAATTATTCAGAAATCGTGAGATGCGGTCTGGTGTGATGTAGGTTTCAGAAAAACATTTTCTTTATTGTGCCAATGTTTCGATCTTTATTATCACACCAGACCACATCTCACAATTTCTGAATAATTATCGATTAATGGTCACTATTCACCACACATATAACAGATAATGTTAAAATATTTACAACGATGAAAGTGTTTTATTTTTAATAAATAAACATATATAATCTTCTTAAGATAAAGGCTAAGACGTACAGAATCAATAAACGTAGGGCTCAAAGGAAAAATTTTGTAAGAAGATGGCTACTCAGCCAATTTAAAACAACTAAACCATCAGTAACAAGTTTAAAGTTACTGGAAGTTCAGCAAAAATAAAAATGTCAAGAATATTTAGTCATCCACCCAAGGCATATTCTTAAGCTGGGTGCACAAAAATAACCCTTTCGCAAAACTTGTCTCACGGATATCTAGCCAGGACAGCAAACCTTTGGCGCAAGGATGTTTCGTGATGAGTCAACTGGCTGTCAGTTTGTTTCTCTCTGAGTAAACACATTTGTCTCGAGTCTGAGAAAGAACCAGGACTGCATTCGACTAGGATGCTAAACATAAAACTCATCATAACAAGAACATGAGAGAGGATGCGTGGAAGGAAATGAACATCAAAATGGGACAAAGACAAAAATTATAGCCATGATAGCAAACTCTGATGCAACAGGAAGTTATAAACGGCTTGTTGCTGGCATGTTTGTCTTTTGCAAACTGATGGCTCATTTTCTTTTGCCAAACATACAGAAAAATGTTTCGCCTTGTGGAAATGGTTAACCTGAGATGGTGTTTCGCGAGTGATTTTTTCGTACAATGGAAACCAAGCTTTAGAAATTCAGTAATCGCAAGCCTCCAGGAAGGAACCTGGTGATTCAAAACTGACAGAGAACATGATGCTTTTTCAACACATTTACAGTGGGTATTCACCATTGTTATTGACGATAGCAACCTTACTGATAGGGAAATCACTGATAGTCTGAAAATTCCTTTAACTTGGAAGAAAACAGATTTAAATTCTTTCAGCTTTGGTAGAAAGAAAAATAGTACAATTAAAACAACTAACAGCAAAAGCAAATGGTTAATGTCCCATAATGATTTGGTTATTTTCCAGTAACATGGACAATTTCATAGATAATGATTCATAAACTGGGGAAATAGGCTAGATTTATAGCATAAAATTTGTTGATCAGCCTACTGCCATTCTTTCATACATAAAAACGAACTTGGAGAAAAAAACTCGACTGGTCCTCAACAGCTAAAGATGTTATTCGGGTTTGAAAAGTATAATAAAAAATTTAAAATGCTCGGTGGAAGCAAACATATAGATAAATTACTAAAGTCCTTCTTGGAAGATATGACTTTATATGTGTACAAATGGTAGTAAGTCAGGTGAAGAAATATAAAAGCAGGAACTCCTCAAGAATCAGATCTCTAATTTCACGACCCACCAGCAACCGAAAACTCATACCTGTATACTTGAATAAGTCTGATTTGGAACTCTCGTACAAATAAACCTATGCCAAGCTGTCGCCAATAATGTACCAAAAATTTGCTTACTTATATTTAAGACCAGTACTGATATACGACAGCTAAACAAGCTGCTGCTTCCTCAAAGATAAATAAAAGTGCAGATATTCCGGAAACAAAAATTTCAATGAACGGGCACTCATCTACAGTAGCTACCTCCTTTAATGACAAGTTTTGCATTTTACGGTAAAAAAATATAGATTTCTATACATTTTAATCCTATAATGGAACCTTTCCATAGTGGTCATGAACACTGCTCTCAGCCCCCAGAGGAATTCACCCCTCTAGAATGGACATAAACAGTAGAAATATATAAAATGTCCCTATAAAAAAATATTTATAATTTTATTTAATTTACTTATTTATTTTTTTAAAAGTCAAAAATGATTTAGGAAGGGTTCAATATTGTTTTGACACAGCTGTTAAATTTTTTTATTGCCCTTTCGTAAATGCTACTTTTTTTGAAAGCAGGCTTTAGACTCCAACTAAGACTTATACAAGAAAAGCTGTGCTATAAAAAATAAATTAATTAAAAAATAATAAAATAAATAACTTTTTACCTCCACATCACGACTTTTTGCGACTTCTGTAAAGTTTTCCTGGTGTTCGAGAGTTTTTTCCTCCCTGTCATCTGTCATTACGAAAATCCTCAGCCTAGCAACAAGCGGGTCGACTCGTTTAGCATAAACGACAAACCTGGGTGATAAAATAATTAAAAAAAGAAAAGAAAAACCAATTGAATGAAAGAAAAAATTGCTTGGACTTACTTGGCCATAAAAGGAACGTGGCTCGCTTCGTTGTAAAGCTGAGAGGCCATGTTTGTGGCGTTGCTTACATTTCTACAGTCCATCAACCAAAACCTCGCTGAAACTGTGGTCGTAAATGATACGCAATCTTTGACGAATGTAAGCGGTGTTGATCCAGTAACATCTTCCCATTGAGCCTTCGCGTTGCCTCCTTTAAATAAAACAAAAACTCACATGAATAACATGCATTTTATATCATAACATAAAACACTGAATGAATGAATAATAATATTTATTTATGTAGAATACAAACTCAAAATATACTCAAAATATCTATGAAAATACTATAAAATACTGAAATTAAAAAAAAATGAATAAATTAAAAAAAAATAAAACAATAGAGAAGAAAAAAGAAAAAATCAAAGAAACAGTAGTAATAAAAGCTAACAAAATAGAAAGATAAAAAAGAGAAGATAATAATAATTAAAATACGGAAATGAAAACATGATTATAATACATTAATAATTAATGTGTTGGACCAGCTCGATTCTGTAAGTCCAAGCGTGGCGAGCAATTCTGATGAGAGGGCGTCACAGATAAAACATTGTGTGATATATTAAAAAAATGGTTGAAAAATAGTAATATTAACAATAATAATTAACTGTTGAACATTCAAATTTCATACAGTATATTTCATTTTATTTGTTTCTCTATTAATGATAATTATAACTGATTGAGAGTTTTTGTTAATGTATGTATGTATATTATGGGCAACAAACACCCTCTGCATACATGCAACAATTCTGCTATTTTTTTTTCTCACTGATCTCGTGTTTTTTTTGTTTTTTTTTTCTTCTGTTTTCTTAACTTGCTAACCTCTCATTGTCACCTCAGGTTGTCAAATTGTTAATAAAAGAAGATAACATACAGGGTGTTCGGCTTATGTTACGGTGCTACAAACTTTGCCAGTAGATTCTACATTTAAAATGGAACCAAAAAGTCCTAATTAACTACAGTCCGAATCTCAGCAGTTTTGGAGTTATTCCACTTTTTCTGATTTTTTAAGATTTCACGACCTTGCTTCAAATAAAGAATGATAACTCCAAAACTAAAAGGATTTGGACAAATCCGATGATACCATTCAAAACTACATAAAATCTCCAATAAGATTTGATCAATACTAAACTTGTAAATGTTCGTGAAATAAGTGGTTTAGTAGTGAGAACTTTGAATTTTTTTTTTAAGTTGAAAAACTTGTTATGGTGTTTCTAAACTACTATTTCCAAACCTAGAGACCAGCAAATTTCAGAAAACGTACTCCTTTTTAGTGGTGTAATTTCTTTTTTCAAAGATGAAGAAATTGATGGAGGAAAGGAAAAAAACCGTGGCTGAGGGATTGGTAAGGTGGAAAATTTGAAAAACAAAACTTAAGGTAATTTTGAATGAATTTATTAAACGTTTTTAAAATTTGGGTTTGAAACCGAAATAGTGCAAGTGTTTACTCATTACCAACACGACTGCAATCTTTGATTAAAGAATCATTGTATTATTATTCTCCAAAATAAAAGAATTTCAAGATTCACAAGGTTTTTACTTATCTATGTGATATCTTGTTAACACTGTGGCCACTTTTTCTAATGAAGAATAAGCTGATATTCATCTTATGTACAGGTTTTGCGGGTTTAATGCAATGGCAGTGTGTCGAAAATGCAATGCAGAGGGTGGAGAGTATTTTGAATCAAAATTAAAAAACATTTAATAAATTCATTCAAAATTTTATTTTTTTTTATTTTTTTATTGTTATTAATCCTTCAACAATCCTTGTTATTAATCCTTACCAATCCTTCAACCATGGTTTTTTCTTTTCCTTAAATTTCTTTGTTTTAAAAAAAAGTAAATAAAAAAGCTATTGCACCAATAAAGAGGATACTAAATGGAGTATGATTGCTGAAATTTGCTGGCCTCTAGGTTTGGAAATAGTAGTTTAGAATCACCATAGTAAGTTTTTCAACTAAAAGAAAAAAATTATTTTTCAAAGTTCTCGCTACTAAAAAGGGTATTTCACGAATGTTTACAAGTTTAATATTGATCAAATCTTATTGGAAATAAGATAACTAGTTTTCAATGGTATGAACGGATTTGTCCAAAACCTTTTAGTTTTGGCGTTATCATTGTTTATTTGAAGCAAGGTCGTGAAATTTTAAAAAATCAGAAAAAGTGAACTAACTCCCAAACTGTTGAGATTCGGACCATAGTTATTTAGGACTTTTTTGTTCCTTTTCGAATGCAGAATCTACTCGCAAAGTTTGTGAAAAGCTGGTAGACAACACATGCATCTTTTACTCGAGGTGGTTAGTTGATTCAACTAGTTGAATGAGTGAGGAAGCAAATGTTTTGAAATTACTCGAACCCCTTCAAACGCACAACTTGTCTGCCTAGGAGACAGGGTGAGCAGACATAAATGTAGCCAACTTTCTCATCTCCACGGATTGACAACTCAAAAGACATTACCTCTTCACACCAGCCTAGTTGAGCCAACTGAATTCACCAAGATTTACCATTGGTTTCAAATATGGAACAGTTTATTGAAGATATTCAGTTAACCCAGCAATACCGGAGGTGTAATAAATATTGTGAGAAAATTAAAAAAAGTGAAGCTTGGAGATAAATGACAACAAATGTTATCCCAATTTCAACATCATGGAGCTTCATGGAGCCAAACAAGCAGAAGAACAAGCACGATAAGTACTCATGCTTCCTCGGGTTTTAACATCGCACTTAACTCCCGTTGGGAAGAGAAGTTGATTCCACAAGTTGCCTGGTGTGAAGTGAACCAAGAAAAGTCTTCACAGGGCAGTAACTAGTCGAAAATCAACCAGGTAACTTGAAGTTTAAAGTTGAATCTGATCTTATTGCCTTGGTACATGGGGCAAGGATTTTTTCCTGCCAGAAAGTGCACATGCGTAAGCCTAGTACGACTTATGTGTAGGCTTGTAAGTATAGTCCTTTCCCTTCTTGACCGGCCACCATGGACCATGTAAATGAGGAATTTGTTAAACTTTTTTACATTTTTTATTTGAATGATTTATTGTTGATTAAGTTTGATTAATTTTAATTTTTAAAACAAAAAAATTGTTATTTATTATTTATGTTATTTGTTATTAATTAATGATTTTATTACTTATTCCAGGTTAAATAAAACACCTTTATATAAAAAAATGTTATCTTATCATGCTTAGCTTATTGTATTAAGGCTTTTGAGATTATTTTTTATCTTAATGGCTTACCAGTAATGCTGCATAATAAGCGGAGGGTCGGAGCTTCACCGTTGTACTGATTAATCATCCCTTTATTCGCCGCTGTCGGTACGGGTAGAGTTAGCGTGATCGGCTTGTGAAATTTCCTCCTTCTAGGCTCGACTGTGACGATAGGAGAAATTCCGACTCGGTTCCCCAAGAGCCGGGTGACGAGCTCACTGCTGATCGGCTGCGCTTGAAGGCCGACGCGAATTTTCTTGGTGAGAGCGTTCGGAGGGAAAATCGCCTGGACTTGCGGAACGGCGGTTGACGACACGACCCCGCCTTCGGGCCCGATGACGTGGACTTCTTGCCTCAGTCGGGACACAACCGCCAAATACTGAGGCAACTCGGTAGTCACAATCCTTGTTATTCTATGAGTATGTGCTTCATCAAAATCTAAAACAAAAAATTATTACATGATTCTTCTGAAAAAAAAAAAAGTAAATAAAATAAAAAACATACCATCTCCTCCTTCAAAACTTGAGTTCAAAATGTGTTGTACAGCATTTTGGCTTTCTTCAAGACAATGTTCTTTCCATGTCGTACCGTTATCACTTCTCATAACGACCAACTCCCTTTCTTTCCCTCGCAATGATACAAAATGTGGAACTTCAATAATTATAGGCCTAAATAAAAAGCATACATTTAATTCTTTGAAAACAAAATCAATCAAAAAATAAATAAATTACCCTAGGAATTTTGTGCCTGCAGGCGATAGTTCCAAAACTCGTGTTGCTAAAGACTGCGCTTCGGAAAGTGGAGGAGCAATGTTTCTGTTTCTCAAATAGCGACATGTAAGACGAAGCGGTGCGGGAGCACACCGAGGAGGTACGACTACGTTGACACCTGACCTCCTGCATCCTCTCATAGCTCCTCCTCTTGCATCTACTAAGAAGCTCACCAGAAAGCTGTTAAATATAAAAAAATCGTTTCTAAAAGTGCAAAATTTGTTTTTAATTCTCTCTTTTTTTTATGTGCGAAAAATATTTTTAAAAAATCAATAATTGATTAATACTCTTTTAAAAAATTATCAATAATTTAAGCTAAAATTGATCAATTTTTGACATACTCCTTGAACTTTGGTGCCATTTCGTACAAACTGCTACAATGCTCAAGTGAAACTAAACTGTTTAGATAAGGTTACAAAAGAAAATGCAAACACTAAAGAATTTTTCTTTCTATTCATCTTGATAAAAAAACACTGGCCGGCCACTTTGTCATTAAAATTATCAGAGAATTTGATACCTGTTTGTTTGCAGTTCTTTCGACCGCATTCTAGAAAATATTTATTCCCGGCACTACTGGCACTATTTACACAAAAAAAATTCTACATTTACTATCAATTAACTAAAAACTAAATTTTGACTCACAACAAGCAAGTAAACGAGACTGAAAATCTTTAATAAATTATAAAATAAAAGATCTACAAATCAACTACACACTAAATATTAAAAAAAACGAAAAAAACTAAACAGACACAAAATTAAACAATAATTTGTTTTGAAATTAAAATCAATAAATTAAAAAAAAAAATTATGATTAAAAATGGTGCAGTACACATACATATATTCTGTGCAATTAAAATTACGCATGGCTCCTTTCAAACACGAGGATATAATGAATTTTCCAAGCCTGAACATAAATTAGTCATTAGACGGTTAAAAACATGCATAATTTATTCCAACGGCTGTATGAATATTTTTGATTTTGATGAATTATGAAACTTAAAAATGATTTTTTTATTGTTATAACAAGTAAATTAACTCTAAAACTACAGAACTGAAAAAAAATAATAAGCTAGGAAATTAAAAAATGTGATAAACGTGACAAAGTTACAAACACAACTGCTACCAAGCAACGAATATGTATTATCACAAAAACTTACTTTGTCCATTGACTTTTGCTGTTTTCGTGAAAGATCACAGAACCCAAAACAACAAAATTAAACTTAAAACAACTGTAAAGGTTATTAGAATAAAATCTGTAATTAATTAATTTTTCAGTCGGTAAGAAAAACTATCCATACAACTTATCAAGCAGTTACTTGTATTAAAAAAAAAAAAATCAATGTTCTGTTGGTCACATTTTTAGTTTATTTAGTAAAAAAAAAAAACTGGTTTTAAAGAAAACTTTGAACACCATCGCAAGCCTGTACCTGTCTCTGCACATCCCAGCATTCTTTCCACGACCAAGGCTTCGTAACGACTGATGCAGGCTACGTAACCTGATCAAATTAAATAAAATGAAAATTTTTTGTTCACAGTAATAAATAAATTCAATTTTCCTCCACCCGTTATAATTGCATTAGTCAACTGTAAAGACTTTACAGGAGGAAGGAGAAAAGAATCGGACCCAAAAGGGCAGAAATACTACTTACAAGTGCTCAACTCATGCCATGCTGTCCGAGATGAATTTTTACACCAAGGTTGAATTACTCATTTTTATTAAATAAACCTGTTTATTGTTAAGGTCTTTTAACAAGAATATTATTAAAAAAATTGCAAATTGAAGTATTAATTCAGAAATAAAATTAGTTGAACCTTTACAAAACACTTTTGCTCAAAGACTGAATCGAAGAATTTTGTTCATGTTAGCAGTCATTAAATTGAAAGATTTATAACGAAGAATCCAAGCTAATCCCTGAACACAACTAGCAAAAGGAAAGAGGACTTATTAGTTTGCTTTTTTTCTTGTCCTAGCCTCAGGTGGAACAACACATTCCTCAAGCTGAATGGTCAAACGACAAGGAACACATACCCTACTAACTGTAAACTGGTCCCTGTCTTAGAATAAGTCGTAATTGCTAAAATAAGAAAAAAAAAATAGTTTAAAGGATCACACAAAAAGGGTGCTGCAGACCCTGACAGGGGCCAGTATGTTTCCACGAACCTGAGAGACATAAAGTTGCAATAAGTGGATAACCGATCAAATAAATGTCTAATGTTGAGTTACTTTATGCTGAAAGGTTATCACTAGTAACGCGGACCTCGTAAATCAGGGTCGTGTCAACCAGGTACGAGACCCCTGTCCTCGCCGGCCCACTTATGGTGTGGGAACTTCCCCGACTTTTGATTTTCCTTTCCACCCTTACTCCGGTAGAAAAACTGGTATAAAAAGAGATCATTGATTTTGAAATCAAAAGGCAGTTTAGGGGCTCACACCAGTCAGTCTAGTTCAGAGGCTCGAATAATCTAACAAAGGGCAGACTGCAGCTACACTCTTTCTGGGACTCAGTGAGAGGAAGAGCCAGGAAGGACCAGTAATTGCGACCAGTCAAATAGAATCGACTGCCGAGGACCCAGGAAGCTACAGGAAGAAGATCCTGGAGGACGAAGGGATGATTTGAAGCTGGTATTGGATGATTTTGATGTGGTTGTACTTAAGTAAAAAGCAGAATTGTGCTCCAATAAATATTTGAGAATATATTCTCTGATTTTTTAAATTTTTGAACCTCACCTTCCCCTACCAAAGAATAAGCAGCGAAGCACTTATTCAGACTACTATCTTATCACTTAGAAGAAAGCAAGTGAATAGAGAGAGATTATCTGACCGTAGCACAATAATAATAATTTTTTTTTATAAATATTCTATTTAAGCATAGCGAGTTTTCCTTTTCATTGTCATGCAAAAGCTTTAAAAAAACCTTTAAAATTAGTTTATTTTGAGTATCCCGCATCAATTTGGCTCCAATTTTTTGGATTTATTTGCCCCCCTTTTTTTCCCCCCATAGCGTTTTAGTTCATATATTTCATAGGTACAGAAAAAACAGCAGTAAAAGAATAGAAAATATCTTAAAGCAAGTGACTACTAACACAAATCTAAAAATAAATTTCCGAAAAAAGGTCAAACCACAACCAATTTATGATTTTTTTCCATAGTATTCTCAATTAAAAAGCCGGGGGCTATGGAGGCATTTGAATCCAGAACTGATAGCATGGCAAATATGAGCCAGATGCCCAACCTCTCGGCCCCCTATTTTATCTGTTATTTCTAATTTGAATTTCTTGGTATTAATTATTAATTTATTAATTAAGAATAATAATCCCCAACTTTACAAATAGAAATAATAAAATTTTTAAAATATTACTACATACACAATTGTATTTTTTAACCTCTGCTGCTATGCGGGTTTTGGCCTATTCTTAATCTGGTGATTTTTAGCAACATAAATCCGATTTTTTGTTTTTTTGTTAATGAGTCTAATTTGAGGCTTCCATTTTGGTAAATAAGCTAGAAATTAGGAGTTAGTTTATCGATAGTGAGAATACTTCTGATCTCAACTTACACTACTAAATTTACAACTATTTTTTATTTATCTGCCATTACACAAAAATATATTATTTTATTTATACACAAGATTCAATGTTCAATAGCAGCTCATGCAAACCACGAAATTAGCAAGGGAGGTAGTTAAGAATATTTTAATATCACTCAATAATTAATTTATTGGTAATTTTAATTATGTTCTTTTGTACTTTTAATGGTAATAGTCTATTATAAATTATTACTAATTGAAATAAAAAGATATAATATGGTGGACTCAAACCCCGTGGTCTTCCTATCATTTAACCCCCCCCCCAGATGGCTAGCTACCAGAACTATTGCCAGCATCTCGTATTTTCCCCTTAGGAATCCTAGCGATCTTTCTGATGGAACTTCTGGGACTTGATTTCAAAGCAGTCAAACTAGCCTAACCTTAGTTAGGCGGGTTTTAGGGTACTCGATGTTCCGCTGAAGGCTTGCCCTCATTCACGCTAATAAATACAATCATACTGATTATAACTTTTCATACACTCGTGCCTACTCCCTTTCGCTCTAAAAACACCTAACTCTAGTTTATTGGGTCTGTGGAGTACTCGATATTCTGCGATGACCCACCCAAACATATTCAATACTCACACTAATAAATACATTCATTCAAAACCTAAAACACTCACAGAAAAATCCTAATCTAGTTTGATGGGTCTATACGGTACTGTACAATCCACCACAACCTACCACACATATTCACTCGCGCTAATAAATACATTCATTTCAGGTAGGAAAACAACACATGGAAAAGCATCAAATATGGCCGTATATATTTTTTTTCTTCAAATATTCAACAGTTATTGAGCTATATTTGTAATACTTGGCTTTTTTAATCTAATTATGTTCCAAATTAGCCGTAAGGGTTGTCATGTTATTAGAATAATTACCAGTTTTTAATTTTAATTGTAAAAAGTAAAGTAATTCCTGTCGTAAAGGATGGCTTAACTTCAAACTACCTGCGGGTCTTGCGAACGAGGGGTCAGAACCATTTACAGTATTTTTTTTCATATCATAATCAATTAAAATTCCATGAGATATGCCAAGATTAGAGACCAGAACCACTAGCACAGCAAATATGAGTCTGGCGTTCTAACAAAATTTCAATTGTTTGTTAATTAGTTTATCTAAACGACTTGATACAAACAAAAGATGTTATGTTATCAACATTGTGAAACAACGTCACAATTAAAAACAGGAGGAAACAACACATCAAAACTAAATCACTAAAATTCTAATATTGTTAACAAGAAAAATCAAAAAATAAAACTGGCAAACGTGCTTACTTTTATTTGACCACATCAAAATAAAGAATTGTTTATTACATTAAACATCAATAAAAATAATATTAAAAAATATTAAGTAGACGTACATATAACACTACTGTTGGAATCCCTTCACCAATAAAGTGAATTTTACAGGACTCGAGAGTGCTATACAAACATGCGATGGTGTTTAAAGATCTTATTAATAATATATAAATCAATGGTACTTTTTTAGGGAAAAACAAATAAGAGTTAAAAATAGTTGGTTTATCTAATTCCATTTTGAAAATAGAGAAAATTCACTATTTTCATTAGAATAAAACAAATGGAAATAGATAATAAGCATGCTTCCGTAGTCTTTAAATTTTTGTCTCTTAATAACTAATGTTTGTGTATAGTAATAGTATAATTAAAACAATAGATTTTTTTTTAAAGAAAACTAAACAAAACTTACAGAGTTAAAAGGTTTAATCTAAAAAGTATATACAGGGATTAAATAAAAAAGAAAAAAGAGGCTTACCCGGCATGAACGGGGATCTGAACAATGTCCACATTGTCCGGCTGGCTGTTTGCAGGATTGTACTGATCCTTCTTGTGCACCAAATCGCCGTGATGGCCGACTGTAGAACAAAATCACATTTTTAATAAATGCCTTATTTTTTTAAATGTTAATAAACATCTACTTACGTAAAGAGTCGCGAGAGAAATCGTGCTCGTCTTTCGTAACGTCGATTTTAACCGAATCGTCGCCTAGAGATTTCATGTCGTCTACTGTCATGTAACGATACTGCTGCTGGTCGCTCAACAACGGATCTTCACCTACAATTTATAGTATTTCAACAAATCTTTTTTTCACCTTATTTTCACAATGTATTACGAACGAAGAAAAATTCTAATTGTAATTATTTATATGCTGAGTGCAAGTTTATTATAATTGCCATAAAAATAAAGCCGTGCAAGAGATGATTCTTTTAAATATTAAGAGATTTAGCTGCCATTAGTGGAATCTTGCTAGTAAAATTTAAAACATAATTATGTTTAATTATGGCTAAAAATATTTTAAAAAAAATGTTCAAAATAAATTCTGGGTGATTTACTTGATCTTATTGACCTAGACACAAATTAGTAATGTAGTATGTAGTTTTTCAAAAGAATAAATTAAAAATGAAAGCATATACTTTTTCACTAGTCTGGCATGAATTTGAGGAGAACATTTAAAATTTAAAAAGATTCCTAGTGAAAATCTAAGATTAATCATTTGATTTAGGTATGAACAAGAGTGAATTTAATAGAAAAAAGATAAGAAGTATTTTTAATTAGCACTTGAATCGATTATTTATTTGAAACATTTTTATTTCTAAGACTAATATAAGCTGCCATAAAATCCTTACTCGTCCGTACTTACCAAAAAATGCTGTAAAATGTTATTCAATTTGCATTAATGTTCAATTTTTTTGGCAAAAAAAGCAAGTCACTCATGCACAAATCTACATAATACTGCGTTACGTTTTATAATAACAAAAAAAATAACGACTGTTCACAATTTACATGGCTTAGGCAATGGGAAAAATTTCTCTGTGAGTAAATTCAATATTAACCCAATGTGTGCGATGTTAACCCTCAACGCCACAGGTTTTTTAAATCTTTTTTTTTTTATTATTATTATTTTGACATCAAGCAATTATACAGCCATGTTACAAAGAATATATACAATTTAAACAGTTCATATTATATTTTCAGAGACACATCTTTTAAAAATTGTATTAACAAGTTATACACTATGGGATTCTTGAATAGAGCTCTACTTTCAGTAACTGGGTGTTCTACTCCTTCTTTCTCCAGATCCTGGTAGAATTTATTTCTGGCTGACGAATGTTGGCTGCAGTGAAACATTATGTGTGTTAGGTCCTCCTTTACTCCGCATGTGTCACAATTTGGGTGTTGTTTTGTGCCAATCTTGTGAAGATACGCTGCACAGATGCCATGGTTTGTTCTTAACCGATGTGGTTATGTCTTTTTTTGCCATGTCTAGTTTGTTAAACCACGGTATTGTTTTCACATGTTGAAATAATGTTTTGTAAGCCATTCCCTCATCCGAGGCAGAGTATTCAGTTTGCCATTCTATTTGAATTCTTGTTTCCAATATTTGAAAAAGGTCTGCATAAGGAATCCTTATGATTCTAGGGGTGAATAACTGTATTTTTTGCAAGATTGTTGACTTTTTCGTTGCCGTAGATGCCCGTATATCCTTTAATCTACATGAAAGAGACCTTTTTTTTAAAGTGGAAAAGTCGTTGACTGTCTATTTTATGTCAGCTACAATATAATTCTTAATGTTAGTAAATGTGTTTTACAAGCACTGGATTGCACTGAGGCTGTCTGTGCAAATTATAATGTAATTTGTTGTAGGAAGGTTGAGGGTAAGGAAAGTTAACGCTGCCTTAATTAACGCCACAGGTTTAAGTGTCTCTGAAACGCTTTTCTTAATTATTTAGTGTTTATTAATTTTTCAATAATCACTAAATAATGTTCACATATGGTGGTGCCATAATTATTTATTTAACAGGAAAGGAAATGTTAAATAAATATTGGCAGTTTTTGATGAACCAGTCGTAGATTCTTGCCAGATGATCCTGTCATTTTAAAAGCTAAAAATTGATTCATAACATAACTAAATGAAAAATCGGTGTTTCAAATTCGCATAATCATGATGTGAAAGCTGTCAAATGGGGACTTGGTAGTTGAATGGTTCAATTCCCACCATCGCCTCTGGATTTTTCTGATGCAATGCATTGGGCCGCACTGATCAAAGTTGACACGACGATCGATCTGTCTGGCAGGGTCAGGCCTTCAGAGATGCTGCCCCTTCAAAAATGAGTTTCTTCATACCAGAGGCTTAATTTACACACATCTTCTTTTGATATCCAAAAAAGGAACCAGGAAGGAGTACGAAAGCTGTAAAGCTGTAGTGCTCAGGGGAACTTTTGTTCCTGGTATACATAATCAATTTAAAAATAAAATAAAATTACTGTCAATAATCCTTTTTTTATTTGTCTTTCCATAAATTAAAGAAATAATTTTTATTGAAAATGTGCACCTCCTAGGTCACAAAAGCAATTGGAGGACTCGTACTTTGAACTGTCAAGAGTGACAGGTGCTCACAGGCTCACTAATTTTTAAGAAACGACAAAGTTACAAGAAATGGAAAGCAGAAGCTTAAGGAACACATAATGACTAGTTTAAAACCAACAGTTGCGCCAAAACCGGCTACCAAATATCCCGTATGCGACTCACAGACCTATGGCGTAGAGGGTTTATTTTGATATTAATAATTTTGCTAACTTAAATTATCTTTTCATAACAAAAAACAAAAAAAAAAAATTTTAAGGTTAGATAAAATAAAGCATACTTTGTGAGAGATCTTGAGGCTTTAGTTTGGGTCTTTTCTGAACTTTTTGACCGGTCTATCATCATGATTTCGGTATGTCCAAGACATCAGCTTCTCGCGCATCTTCAGTGGTAGGTTTGACTGATTTGTGTTTAATCAGGTCTGTTTTTTTTTTTTTTTTTTTTTGGTCGACCTGGTACCACTGAAGATAGTAAAAAGCCAAATTATGTCTGACCGACCAAACCAGCAAGGACAGACCAAAATGACCAGAAAAGCCCAAATTAAAGCTTTTTTTTAAGTGATGTAGTGATTCAAATAGACATTACCATGCAGTTAAGTAACTTTTTATTGAAATTTTCTACACAAAACTTAAACAAAAAATTCTTAGGTTTAAATAGAAAAATGAAGATATTATTATGCTCAGGAAATAGAAACTTACGAGTGTATAACATTTGACCTTGGTAGTAGGGAAGGTAGACATGCTGAGCATGTGTTGGTTTGCCATAGTCATTCATCGCAACAGCAATCATATCATCCCCACCTGGATTAAAACGAGACTAATTATCCCTAATACCCACTTGTAAGGTTTGTCTTGTTTGTTTTGTTATTCAATAACTCAGTGGAAAAACTAATATTTGTGTATTATAAAAACTGGGGCAGTAATATTTACAAAGCAAAATTAAAAAAAAAAACTTTGATTCTATTTTTGAGCTAAAGTAAAGTGCTTGAAAACCCTATCCTGTCAAAAACACATATGCAACACTTTTCAAAACTATTTTTCTCATTTTAAGCAATTTATACCCTAATTATCCAAAAGAAAGCATATATGACAGGTAAAAAATTCCACCCACTTGTAAATACTGTCCTTTCTTTAATATTTGTTTAAATTAAAATTTACAAAATTTTAATGTTTAATGGGCACTCTCAACACGACTCACAAGAATGACATATCTACACGGAAAACAAACACTTTGAGCCCTGAAGATGATCTCAATAAAGATCGAAACGTTGGCATGATAAAGAAAATATTTTTCTGAAACCTACATCACACCAGACCTCATCTCACGATCTCCAAATATTTATTAAAATTAATTATAGTTAAAACGCATTCTTTAAGACACCTTGCCATACTTTCTACCAGTCAGGAAATGCCTCTTAGCTGGAGATTAGCCCAATTTTCAGTTCTTATTTGTCTACTATATCACCCCGAATTCAATATGACTTAAGTCAGGACAGGCAAGGTATTAGAGTGGATTCCGGCCAGGGAAATCCACGATAGATCAAATGTATTTGCTCATTATTCTGAAGAGAGGAAGATATACAATATCCATTAATTTATTTGTGGATTCTAAATCAGTGTGAAACTGCTTGGTGAGCTGATGTGTTGATGAAGGATTTAATAATCCTCGTTAAACTAAAGCTGTCTGCTCAGGGAGTCCGAGGGCTTCCACACATGGGTAAGACAATGAAACAGATTGGGGGGGGGGCACAGTAGCCGAGTGGTTAAGGCATCAGAGTCTGGGGTTTGATCCCCACCGTCGCCTCTGGACTTTTTCTGACGCCTGAGGGGAACGGTGGCTGCAATTGAAAGAAATTGACACAGCACTCATCAATGGAAGGGGCGGGATCGGATCTCAGCGACCCTGAATTTTGTCCCAACTCACTTTAAACATGAGTTTCTTCGATGGAAGAACACCGGCACAACGGGGGCTCAAATTCACACTTGTGTTGCCAACCCCCCAAAAAATGTAAATGTAAAAATGTAATGTAAGGTGTACAGCTGCAGGGGGGGGGAAGGATTGGCTACTGTTCAATCTGTCCTTAGAGAGAACAATTCCAAAGGAAATCTATTTAATTCAGATTTTGGTTTATGCCGATGACTTGGATTGTATCTCTAAAAAACTAGGATAAAGGTGTGATTCAGTGTTTATAGAATTGAGTTGGTAAGCAAATTTATGTACTTAGGCTCCCTTGTCACTGCCGACAAGCTGAACTCCAAAAATCAAAAAAAGTCAACTTCTGCAAATAAGATCTTTGCACTAGGTTAAGCAAATGAAAACCTGATGAGCATGATGAAGTTGAGGCTTTACACAATGAGGCTTGGACAATTTTTAAAGAAGACGATGAGAATAACATCTTAATCTTTGAGAAGAAAATTCTTCGTCATATTTTTGGGCCCGTGAATGCCAATGGTGGAAGAAATACAAACTTTACTTTGATATTAAGGGTCCTTAATGTTTGCCGAAAATTGCAAAATGATCAAGGACGAGATGAAGTTCTAGTGCAAGAGGACATCCGAAGCTACACTGCTAAGAAAATGCTAAGAATTAACTTGCTAAGTGTTAGGAACTTGGATCTGGAGAATATTTGGGAGCTCGTTGAGGAAGCTGAGCAACTAAATGGATTGTACAATTGTTGTTGATGAATGTTACGGTCTGAGGTTAACAATATGTTTGTATCATCATACATAAAAATACGATACTTCGATGATGTACCCAAGGATCATCTTGTTTCATGTCATCTGTATAGACGAAAAACCCAACTCTATGACACTCCGTTTAAATCCCTGTTCAGACCATCAAAGAGCCATGTTGAAGTTGTTGGCTCTGTAAATTGTAAAGCAAATCTGGCCTCATTTATAGAAAGTAAATACTTAAAAAACATCCTGATCAACGAAAGTAAGGAGCTGGTTTAAAAAAAATTCTCATCCTCAAAAAACAGTCGTCCTGCTGTTCTTTGGTGAGAATCAGTTTCATAAAATCAGCTGAGTTTGGTAAGGAACTGCAATGGCATCCACCACATGTCTTGTAATGGCAATCGTCAATAAGCGCTACCCCACCCACCACAAGCAGTAAGAACCATTTTGAAATTTAAAATTTTAACTTGAACTTAAACGCATAAAATATAAAAAATGAGGCTAAATAAAATATTCATCGAAAGGAAAGCCTAACTGACAACACTACGGATCAAGTGTTTTCACCTCTAAATTTCAATTTAGCTAACAAAACAAACAAATATTTTTTGTTTGTTAAAAAAAAATTAACTATACAATTTTCTTATGGTCCGGAAAATTAAATAAAAGAAAAAAAGAAAACAAGTAGTTGGAATTTTTGCCTGTCAGGTATACAAACATTCAAAAGCAATTACCCAAACTGAACAGATTTAAAGCTTCAAAAAGCCCTTTGTCAAAGCTCACAAAAGCACTAATATTAAAATTAACCACAAAATATCTAACCCACTGAATACCACCCCCCTACAAAAATAAAATAATATAATAATGTCTGTCAATATTTAGATAATCAATTAATATTTAGAATGAAAGAATTTTTAATGTTTAAATCCCTTTTATATTTCATTACCATTGCATGATACAAAAATGAAACTATTCATTACTGGACTTCATAATTCATTATTCACTCCCATTAAAAAGTGTCCCTCAATCCCCTTGTGTATTTTATGCTAATTAAACCATGCCTTAAAGTGTTACTTAAAAAAATAAAACAAAATAAAAATCTACTCATAAACATGGTTTCTGAAAAGAAGAATAAAAAGGGGTCAAAATAGATAGAAAAGATCATAAAGAAGATCTCATGCACGATGTTTACAATGTTTCAAAACTGGATATTAAAAGACAAAGAAAAATACCTCCGTCGTCTTCCGAATCGGACATAAAAGTTTCCTGCATTGATTCTGGAGCGACGACCCTGTATTTCTCTTCGAGAGTCGTTGTAGTCGTCGGAGCGGTAGGTTCTGTCACAACTTTTAAAGTCTCCACTACTGTTATGTAGCCAAGCTTGTTTGCTATTGCCAGAGCTGTCAGCCCTTGCTGTAAAAAAAAATATATATATATATATATAAAATACTAATAAGAGAAGGATTTGATAAGTGGTTACGTTTGTCATGACGTCTGGTTTGGCTCGGGCACGAAGCAAGAGCGTAATGACTAAACAGTGCCCCTGCTGTGCTGCCTGGTGCAGAGGAGTATAGCCGAGATTGGTAGCACTTTCAACATTAGCCCCTTGCTCAAGAAGCCAACGTACCATCGCAGGTTGACCAAAATGGCATGCAATATGCAGAGGGGTATAACCAGCCTTAAAAAAGATTACAGATACAAATAAACAATGATAAACAAAAATCTAGACTATACTGAAAACTTTTATAAAAAAAAAAAAAAAAAAAAAAAAAAAAAAAAAAAGGAGACAGTCAAAAATTATATAGTGACTCTTGGTGGTGAAAAACAGAAAAGTAAGAAAAATAAGAATAAGCACAAGTTTAGCTCCTTATCAAAAGTACTTCCAGGGGATCAAAGTCCGCTTAATCTGAACTTAACCAAAAAGCGTGTCAGCTTGACCTGCCCAGATCTAGCTGTTGGAATGTTTTATCAACTGACCTGGAAGCTCTCCAGAAATACAGTGGTAACAATTTATGTATTTTTTATTACCTTTGTAACCGAATCGATGGAAGCATTGTTCTTTCTCAATATTTCGGCAACCTTCACTTTGTCTTCTTGAGCACATAGATGCATCGGAGTTAGACCATTCTAAAAATAAATACTTATTAGATTAAAAACGACATAAAAAATAATTATAATAACCTTTGAATGATGATTAACGTCTGCTTTATGCTCAATAAGTAAAGAAGCGATGTCCGTGTATCCTTCTTGAGCAGCAAGATGGAGGGGTGTAAAACCGGCTTTTGACTCTGCGTTTGCCTTAGCACCGTATTCAAGTAGAGTGGTTGCAATGTCAAGCTAAAATCACAAATTAAAAACAAAAAATAAAATAAGCGTCTGACATTATCATAATTATTAAAATATTACCTGATTTTTCTTAGCTGCAATATGTAAAGGCGTGTGACCATTTTTAGCGGTAGCATGCGGCGAAGCGCCTTTCTCCAAGAGGAGAAGTGCGACGTTCTGGTTGTCGTAATGGCTTGCAACATGGAGAGGAGTAACTCCATTCTAAAAAGAAATAAATATAGACTTGAACTACAAGCGATAAATGATCACTATGAAAAGAAAAATCTAACAAAATTTATGTTTTTAATAATTATAACGAATGGTAATTTAAAAAAAATGCATACCTTTCCCTGAGCATCTACAGGAGCATCACGCTGCAACAATTGTTTTGCGACTTTCATATTTCCATATTTGGCGGCCAGATGCAACGGAGTGAAGCCCTTCTTCGTCGTCGCTGACAACGATGCGCCGTTTTCCAGGAGGACAGAAGCCACCTGAGAATATTCGGTCATTTTACTGGTTCCTTTATCAGACAGGTGTTTAAATAAACATTTACTGAGACTTCTGTGACCTCTACTATTTGGGACTTCGGTCACAGTTTTAGATTCCTTGGCAAAATGCCTTGTATGTTTTTTTGTGCATTTTATTAGGAAATGTGTTTTGTTTATGTTATTCAGTTTATTTATAATATTTTATATTTATAAATTCTATTAAAAATTATATTCTATTAAATGTATAGTAGATGTTAAAATTAATAAAATTATTTCATGTATTAAGTTAATGACATACTACATAGTAAGTGAAACTAACTTGGTGTATTCTATTATAATTTTTTTTTATAACTAATGAACAATGTTTTTTGAACAATCAAAAAATTATAAAGTGATTTTAACATTTACTAACTGCTAATATGAGAGACTGTAAGAGCTGAGTGGTTAGGGTGCTATCTCAAAAAATAAAAAATACCTCTTCTTGTCCTTCTTTAGCAGCGATATGTAACGGTGTGTACAGATCTCTAGTCATGCTATGAGGCGAAGCGCCGTGTTGTAAAAGAAGCATGGCGATGTCGGCATTGCCCAGCCTGCTTGCGACGTGTAGAGGCGTCTGGACAAAGATTGTCAAACTTTGTTATATTCTTTAAAATAAACACGCTGAATTTTAAATCACCTGTTCCTCTCTCGCTTTGGCATCGACGGTGGCATTGTGCCTCAGCAGTACTCTGACGATGTCGCACTGATTGGCCCGTGCGGCCAAATGCAACGGTGTCTCACCTCGCACAGTGGCCGCATCCGGCGATGCACCCTTCTGAAGAAGGCACAATGCGATTGTCATGCAGCCCATAAAACAGCTTACATGAAGTGGTGTTAACCCAGACTAAAATTAAACAAATTAAGCCACCATTATTTATTATTTTTTTGTTTTTATAAATCATATAATGCAATTAAGGCCTATTTTGGGTGAAGAGTCAAACCAATTTGAAAAAAAAAAATTAAAAAGTATATAAAATTAATGTTTTAAACTAACTGTTTTCAAGTTATAATTTTTTATTATTAGAAAATGCCAACCTCAGTTGTTGATTCAATGGAAGCACCGTATTTCAAAAGTAACTCCACCACCTTGATTCTATTTTTCTTGCATGCGATATGAAGAGGAGTAAAGCCATTTAAAGCTCTGGCATTCGGGTCTGCTTTTCTGTCCAAAAGTAGCCTGGAAAAAAGTCGGTTATTTAATTTTCAAATTATTTTGTATAAATTAGAAATACCTGGCCACAGCGACATGACCGCAATGCGCCGCGACATGAAGCGCAGTCAAATAATCGACTGTAATGTCATCTACAGGAGCGCCGTGGTAAAGTAATATCCTCGCGGCATCGACATGATCCCCTTGTGAGGCCATGTGCAGCGCCGATAGTCCATTCTGCAAAATGCGATAACTTAAGAGTGAAAATAATCGCTATATATGAGATTATATACCTTCGTTTTAGATGCTAACGGTGCGCGATTTTCTATTAGAAGATCGACCACTTGATCATGGCCTGAACGAGCGGCGCAGTGAAGCGGCGTCAAGCCGTCTCGTGTTTTAGCTTCAATATTGGCTCCTTTGTCAAGAAGTAATGAAACCATTGCCATCTTTCCCCATTTACAAGCAACATGAAGTGGAGTAATGTTATGCTAAAAAGAAAACAATGTTAAATATTTCAAAAATAATAATATAATTTATAACATACTTTAGCAGCAAAATTAATGTCAGCGCCTTTTTGGTGGAGAAGTGTTGCGATGTTTTCATTTCCGTAATGCGCAGCAATGTGCAAAGGTGTAAATCCACTTTTAGACGTCACATCAGGATTATGGTCATTCTGAAAATTTAAAAAAAAGATAAAAGCCTTACATAATACGCCCACCTGGCTGTCATACCTGTAAAAGTAGCGTTGCGGCTTTACAGTCATCTTTTTTGGCCGCAATGTGTAAAGCGGGCAGTCTGACTTTCCCTCTTGTGTCATTCTCAAGTAGAACGGTGACAACTTTGTCGTGTCCTTGCTGCATAGCGACTGCCAATGGGGTAAACCCATCCTAAAAACGAGCAATATAGTGTAAGTAAAAAAGTCCATAGCTTAATCTTCTAAAATGTGTTTGTTTATTTATTTTACAGTTTCCCGATTACAAATGCATGCAATAAAAGTATAAATGTTATAACTGTACATAAATTTAGAAATGTTTACAATAAAAAAAAATTGAAAGAATTTGAAATATGCATTAAAACTATGTAATTATCAATTATTAATTATAACCAAGATCAATATCAAATAAATATTTCATTTTCTATATTTTGAACGAGTTTAACATATATATTTTTTACTCTTCTTTTCTGTTGACTTTTTAATTTCTTGGGTTTCTTTTTAGGAACTAGATAACCATTAAACTCATTTTCTTTTTATTGATATCGATTTCGGAGGCATCAGCCTCATCAGTTTTTGGAAATTCGTTTTAATGTATTTGTTGTTCTTGTTGTAAAACTGAATTTGGCATAATTATTTATATGGAAATCAATGGAGAATGTTATATTACTTTTGGAATGATAAGATGAAACATGAAAGTTAATTCGGTTAAGCCATAATGGGCAATCAGTTAAGAAATGTAATAATTTATATAATAATATGCAATCAAAGAATTTCAGATTTGACATTAGCGATGAGTATGTGTATATCTATATTCTCCAGTTGTTTAGTAATATACCAGGCATAATTTTTTTTCTTTTTTCTACGCAACTGATACAGGTGGATTGAAAGGGAGCCCAAAATCGGTCAACTTTTAAGTCCATCTAGATCATGGAATTGTTTTATATGATGTGTAATAAATACTAAAATTTTATTTACTTTAGCAAAAATTTTATTAATATGAGTGGTAAAGTTTATCTGACTGTCAGTAATGAAGTCAAGATCTTTAACAATTTTACATCTAGGATTGAGTTAAATTTGATAGGATATTTTATTTTATGAAAACATTTGTCAGAATTCAAAATAATATTATTATTTGGACACCAATTATTAATTTTTATTAAGGCATGTTGAAGTAGTAAGCAATCAGAAACAAAATTAGTTTTTAAGAATATTTTTAAATCATTGACAAAAAGTAGGGTCATAATGGATGGAAGAGAATCAGGGATATTGTTTATATAGATTTTAAAAAGAAAAGGACCTAAGTGCGACCCTTGAGGAACTCCAGAAGTTGCTAGAAACTATGCGACAATACCGATGTTATTGTCAATTTTACTTTAACCATTTGACCATTCTAAATAGGATGCAAGCCAATTTAATAAATTGCGTTACCTAATTTTTATAGTAGAATCGTATGAAGCTTTTGAAAAATCAGTGTAACAATCAACTTGTAGTCCTTCAGAAAAATATTGTAATATATAATCTTGAAATATTGGAAAGTTGGTTTTTCCCGTCCTAGTTGCAAGAACCTGTACCTATATAGACCTTCGCAGAAACATATGTGTTCTGCGGTCTCCTCCTCTTCCTGGCAGTATCTGCACAGTGTTTCTTCTGTCTATACTCCTATCTGGTGCGTATGACTTCTTAGGTGGCAGTGCTTTATCAGGAGTCAAACCACAATCTCGATTTTGTTGCCATTACATTCCAGTAATTCGTTTGTGAGTCTTACAGATTTCTCTGAATCTCTTCGCCTTATTGGGTATTGTTCCACTAGGTTTTGTACTCATTAAAGAACCAATTTGGATGTATCCTTTTTTGACATAGTGCCAGGCAACAATAGGGTTCGAGATCTAGAGCATTCACATTGGTTTCTTTTTTTGGCCAACACATCCACCCTCTCATTACCTCTTATGTCCTGGACGTCCAGGGATACATGCCAAGGTCAGGTCAATTGGTGTCACTGATAGGACCCAAATAGACTGATAGGACTTCTTAAAAGATAGGATGAGAGTGTAAACAATAAGAATATCTCACCGAGCACAAGAAATCCAAAAATCTCTTTGTTGCCAAAAGATGCTTTGTTAGGTTAGGTTAAGTTAGGTAAAGTGTAAGGCTTGTTTTGGTTATGTTAGATAGGGTTAGGTATATAGAGAGTGGAACAAATGGAAGGCATTGAAAAAAAATTACAAAGATAGGACCCAATCCTTTTGGGAAATCACATACCATCAGAGCACATTAAAAGGTAGGACAAGAGAAGAAAAAATAAGAATATCTCACTGAGCACAAGAAATCTAAAAATCTCTTTGTTGCCAAAAGACAGGAGACCCTACTGGGAGACTGATACTTCTCCACATGAGAATGTGTTTTGGGCGGAAATAAAACCATGTCAAATTACTACATTCCTCGATGAATGGACTAAAAGTGCTCAAGTGGGAGAGCAGTGGCGTATTTAATCGAAGGTAGTGGGTTCGAATCCCACGACTGACAGTGACTTTTTTATCTCAACCAATACCTTTCTTAAAGATTAATTAATTGAAAAAAATTACAATTAATCTTAAACTTTTCTTTAACTATAAAAAATGTGTGTTTATAATACAATTTAATTGCACCATTTATTGTTCATATAAAAATTGATTCGATTATAAAAGGCAAAGAGTTTTTGAATTGAGTAAATAACAATGTTATACTAATAAAATTTTATTATCTCCAAAAGAGTAGAGTGGGATTTATTCAATAAGGTTGAATTGCCACTCAAGGAAACCCATTAATCGGGGTCAGGGAAGATTTACTTATCGAATGAAATTTATTTTTAAATTACCTCAGTCGCTAGGCCTTGATTTGCTCCTTTGTTGAGAAGGAATTTAACAACAGCGTCGTGGTTCTCCTGGGCAGCCATGTACAAAGGAGTGAAACCATTAAGTGATTGTACATTTATGTTAGCTCCTTTGTCAACCAACAGCCTTGCAACTTCTTCCTGGCCGGCTAAAACATTAAAAAAATTAGAATAAATTAATAAAGCTGGTGTGGTTTTTTTTAAACATATTGCACTCACCAAGGGCAGCTATGTGAAGAGCGGTGTTGCCCTTCTTGGTTGCAGCATCTACGACACATCCTCTGTTCAAAAGTTCCTGAACTATCTCTACATGTCCGTCTTTAGCAGCCAAATGAAGCGCATTCAGATCATTCTAAAAGCAAGCAAATAATTGGCATGTCCTTAAAGATAGTACAAACATTCTGTTTGTTAAATGTTTTCCTTTTAGTATTTAAATTTATTTAGCAACTCTGATAATATATTTGCATGAAAAGAATAAAATTGAACAACTGTCGTTATAGACAGTCATTTAACATCTACAGCCAAAGAACAGTGACCTTTCCTAATAACATATTTTTAAAATTTTCTTATCAATTTAATGACAGGCAAATGGTTTATTAATGTTATTTCTAATGTTTAGATTAAGATTGTTTTCAAACAAAAATTATATTTTAGTTTATTTCCTTACCGCATTGCATGTATTAATGTCTACACCCTGCTCCACTAGTTGAAGGACTTTGTCCAGCTGCCCTGCCCTCGCAGCTCTTAAAAAGCTCGTCCCAGGATCGGACTAAAACAGAAAATCAATAATTAATTATCAGACAACTGTCACAATTTTACAAGTAAATTATGAAATATCTTGGAGTTTTAAGCACGGCTGGATTTTTTCGATCTGATAAAACTGAATGAGGTGGAGATATAAAGATATTTATATCAGATGGAGAAGCAGATGCTAACGACAGGATAAAATGTGTAACATCCTGTTTTAATTATAATTAGAAAGAAAAGTTAAAATGTATTAAATTTGTTATTATATTTTCTTTCTTCTGTGCATAAACTATGACTGTTATGCTGAAAAAGTGAACATTTTTTCTATAAAAATTAGTTAAATTGTTATTCACATTTCCAAGATTGTAAACTAAGCTTGGACGAGGATCTATTTTCAAAATTTCTCTTGAAATTTAAGTAATTTCAACCTTGAATTTTTAAATTCACATTCCACGTCAAGTAGTAACATGTTTCTCTGAGGAAATTGGTTAGGTCGCAGATATAAAAATGGGAAAGCAATGGTAATGATGTGATAAAACCACATATTATAACATGGATGTGTTTTTGACTTTTCTCACATCATCAATTTGGTATTACCAGGGAGTGAACATGGCATAGGTTAGATTAACTTGGGTTGAGTTCGGGTTAAGTATGGTTAGGTTAGTTTAGGTAAAGTTAAGGTCAGTTTGAGTTAGGGTTAAGTATGATTTGGTTAGTTTAGGTAAAGTTGAGGTTAATTTGGGTTAGGGTTAAGTATAGTTTGGTTAGTTTAGGTAAAGTTGAGGTAAGTTTGAGTTAGGATTAAGTATGATTTGGTTAGTTTAGGTAGAGCTAAGGTTAGTTAGAGTTAGGGTTAAGTATGGTTTGGTTAGTTTAGGTAAAGTCAAGGTTAGTTTGTAGAAGAGATATGATATTTCCAGTGTTCACATAAAAACTAGGGAAAAATTTTTATTAGCATAAAAACATGATAAAATAATACCAAAATTTTCTGAAAAGGTTCAGTCAATGTGACAGTTAGTGGAAGACATCAAACTCTGGCTCTGGATAGAGAGCATGTAGGTAGGTAAAGGGTAAATGTTAAAAGGAATTGGCATCTTTAAGACCATGTGCACTATAACCAATATTGGTAAGGTTAGGAATGGTTAGTTTAGGTAGGGTTAAGAAAAATGATATATTTTCAGTGTTTATGTGCAAAAACCAAGGACAAAAAAAGTTAAAACATGATAAATAATACCCATAAAAGGCTAATTTTGTTGAGAAGGATCTGCCAGTGTGTCAGTGGAAGAGATCCAACCCTGGCTCTGGATAGAGAACATGTAGGTATGTATAGGTTAAAGGTTAAAGGGTCTCTTTACGACCATGTGCTACCAATACTGGTCTATTGTGCTATCTCCATTATTGTTTTTTGTTAAGTTTCAAGTTTTTTTTACCAGATCCCAAATAGTTTTTAGGGGTTCATATATTCTTTCGGATTAGACTTCCAGGAGGAATCTCAGATTGTGGCATTCATACCAACAGAGGATATATTTCACTGCTTCTTCTTCTTCTTCTGGTTGTCTGACTCTATCGTATGACTCTGGAGTCTGCTGTTTCCAGTCAGCAGTCCTATTACAATTCTAGTGTTAATACACCCTAGATTTAGTTGGTTCTAGTGCTTTAATGGATTTTTTTCATGTCTGTCTTTGAATACATTTTCATTGAACCGAGGACTTAATCTTAACCATTTCTCATTAATCTACATCAATTTGGTATGCTACAAAAGGGTTCAGATAGGTGTCCTGATTTAACTTCCTTAGCCAATTTATCAGCCTACTGACCCTCTATTTGTATGCCCTGGTGACAAACAAGCAATAATTGGTACAAGAACTTTTCCAAAGTTGAGCGACGACTCCCTGAGTACCCCTGAGCAATTTTCTAAAATTACAAAAATATTTTACCACCACTGAAGAAGGTAAAATACAGAAATATATCTTGAAATCCTGAAGTTATTAGATTTATTTATTCTTGTTAGTTTTTCGAGAGAGATTCGCTTATGGATAGGCTTGTGTGATGGAGCTAAAGATCCACTAAGTTCAAGACCAATAATGACTTTCACTCCTGATTAAACATTTTTAACAAAGAAAAACTTTTAAAATATAAACTAAACAAGGATTAATGAATGCGAAATTGTTTGTATAACCAAGTGTTTAAATTTAAACACGAACGTTTATTTTCCACCGTTCCTATCTTTCTCTCATTTCCGTCATTTTGTGTTTGACCCGTTCGATCACGATGGGCAGATGGGATCCGTTTAATGGATTATCTATGAAAGTTCGGTTAAAAGGCAAATGCCAAAGGGGGATAAATGGTTTTGTTCAACTTAGTTGGGATGAAAGTCCATCCAGTCGGCGGTTCCCTTATAAGAATCAAATATGAACCACCTAAGGAATGGGAAAAAACGAAAAAAACACCATCTTCCATCTACGGCAAGTACGAAGAGCCTAGCGAAAGTACAAGGCTGCATACTTCAAAACTTTTAACATGGAACACAGAAAACATTAACGCTATAAATTGAACCTTATTCCATTTTTTTCGATAAAAGAAAAAACAATTACAAGGAATTCAAATTACACGTGAACAAACCGTAATAGATTACACAAGTTTTTTTTCTTTCAGCTAGGATTGGCAATTGGAATTACAGGAGCTACACTCTTATCAGGTGAACATCCTGCTCCTCGCATTGATCTTAATTACAGATTACAGATCCTTATGAATGCTACCATCTTCTTTGATCTGAACAGTAAAACTGTTGTAAGTGGCAAGGATGGGCGAAAAGAAGATTTTCAAACATCGACGGAGAAAAACTGATAAAAAAGGAAAGAGAGTAGTGAATGACGAATGCCGTTTTATTTAGTTTCGCAGAATTTGATCAAATGCTGACCACTTACATTCAACAGACCTCTCTTACACCACTGAGAGGAGGGGAGGGGAGAGGGAGAGGGAGAGAGAGGCGAGAAGACTGGAGAGAGAGAGAGAGAGAGAGGGGGGGGTGGATAAGTAAGAAAGAAACAGTAAATAAGTAGATACAAGTAAATGAAAAGTTAATAAGTAGGTGAATGACTGAGAGCAAGTGAGAGGTGAGAGAAATAGAGAGCGAGAGAGGGCGAGGGTGAGGAAGACGAAGATGGAGAGCAAGAGAGGAGAACAATTGGGGAAATGAGAAGAGACAGTAAGTTTATGAGTGAGAGGGTGAATGAATGAGAGTGAGAGTGAGAGCAAGAGAACATGTGGAAAGTGAGAAAAATCTAGCAAGTGAATGAGTGAGTGAGTGGAAAAGAGATAGTAAGTGAATAAATGAATGAATTCTTTAGGCTGTTTTGTTTGTCGTGACAACTATTATAAAAATACATAAAGCATAATCAGATTTAAAAGATTACATGGAGATAAAATCCTATTTTTTCAAAGCTGGTTTCCACTTGCGTGGGCTCTTTGTAGGTGGCGAAATGCAATCTCCGACAATTCAAAGTAAAAAAGTCCAATAAGTATATAAAACCGCTGAAAGATCCAGAATAAAACGATCAATCGAGAGTTTCGTAAAGGAAAACGAAGCCTGTTCGAAAGACGGCCTTGCCTTAATTTCTCCTGCCGTAAATGGAGCCAAGTGTCCACGACTCCAGCAAACAACATTCGATTACCTCCAATAAAAAATGATGAGAGCTGTGATAAAAAAAATTTACACAAGGTTATCGCAATGCCAGGATTTTTAACAATACTTGCGATAACCAGAGAAGACACAAGACGAAGACTCATTTGTATTAAGGAGTATAAAATTAAGAAATGTATAAAAATTTTAGTAGAATAATGAAAATACTTTGACACAAGTGAATCATTTTTTATACAGACTTCGTTCCCGATAGACGGGGACTTAAGGCCAGACTTGATAATTTTAAGTGGTAAGATCAGCATAATTGGCAATTATGAGCCACGAAACGTTTGAACAGAGGAAGAGCAAATCAAGAAATCTGAAATTTTTTGTCTGGAATCTTGACGATAAGGCTGATATGGATGGCAGGATTCAGTAAACGGGATTATTCTTTTGTACTGAAAACGTACAGCTAGACAGAGGATACTGGCCATTGTTTCATTATCCAATTTTACGTTGTAAGTTCATACCAGGCATATGTGGCAATCACGAGCCACGCGGACATTTGAATAGATAAAGAACAGATCAAGAAATCTAAAGAATTTTGTTTACAATGTTGACGGTACGGACTGCCAGATGTGACATGGAATAGTGATGACCTTTGTATCAAGGAGCACCGCAAAATGCACAACTAGAGAGAAGATTGGTGAGTAGTAGTCACGAAAAGCTTCCTATGAAGACCAAAAATCAATAAATCTGAAGAATGAAAAGGATGTGCTGCCTGGTTAGGTATGGAAACAGTTATGACCTCTGTATCCAGAAGCACAATAAATCCCATAAATCTATGAATGTAATCTAGAATGATGAGGATAATGTATTAGATAACGTTGATAATGTGATGACCTTGGTATCGAAAAGGACCAGCAAATCTAAAACGCAGAAGAAAAACAAGTGAATCATACTTTTATAATGACCTTGCTCAGTTGGATGAAGAATATCTGCCATTGGTGACCGGGTCATTGTACGATATTAAATGGTATGATCATATTAGACATATGCGGTAATCAGGAGGCACGGAGACAGGATTTTAGATTACTAACAAATCGAGAAATCTGACGAATTTTATATATAATTTAAATATAATTTTTAGGCAAAGTAGGTCGAGATGAAAAATTAGTTTTAATAAACTCTGGTCTTCGGTCCCCGGAACACCGACTGGTCATCTCAATGTACAACTTTGTCAAATTTCACGCTCGACCACGCATAAAAAATATAAATCAATTTAAGTAATCAATGTGGTTATCTAGGACCAACTAAAAACATAGATTAATAAATAAAGATTAGGACATTCAGACACTGGTGGCCTGGAACCCGTCATAACCTTTGTTCTAGGAGGATCA